TCTGAATTTCTTATTCCCTCTACATTTTTGTCTTTTCATGTTTTTACTATTGTGCTTACTGAAGATAGTTTAAATTCTTGCAACATATTCTTGTCTCTCTTTGCAAGCCTGAATTTGGTATTCATAGTACATCTTTTAGTTATCGATATAGTTCTTATTTATGGTACCCAGTGTTATGTTTGGAAGGTGCTTCTATGTATTGACTTGAAACATTTGGGGCTGTTGTGTAATGATGCAAGGAGGATCCATATTGTTAATAGGGCAACTGTAATTTTTTACTACAATATTTCTGAGAGAAACCCCCCCTCTCCTCAATAGCTTCCCCTATTCTACAGTTAGAAGCAATCAAGCCTCGGTGAGAGGAAGGGATCAAGCCTCAGTGAGAGGAAGGGATCAAGCCTCGGTGAGACGAAGGGAAGCCTGGGGATCATAGATCACCACAAAGCTGAGCAAAAAGTCCCACCAGAATGCCAAAATGATTATAAATAAGTAACTGCTGGGAAAAATGTGTAACCCTGATGAAAATAAAGCAAACAATTGTTATCTTGACAATATCAATGTTTAGATGGCTGCCCGGGTGACCCTGAGGGCTGCCCTGCTTCGAGGTACCTGGTGCAATGAGGGCTTCGCTCTCGTTGCACCAGGTACAGATAGATTTTCAATTCCTGTTCCTTTGTTCTGTGTGCTTGCAAATAACGCACTTACATACACCCTTGGCTTTAGTACTTGTAGGTTGTATGTAATCAAGCTTGTAAAGCATAAGGTAGTATTCAAAAGTTTATAGGAAAAGATCAATTTGTAAGGTAGTTTGAAAATATCGCTTTGTAAGGTCCCACACAGGAAGAGATTCAACTAGCCTCAAAGAGTGTCCGTCAGTCTGGAAGAGATTCAGACATTCTTGAAAATATCTATGGAAAACACCACCATGGAAGGCGCTAACACTGTCCATCTATGCTACTTGTATCAGATGCATCATCACTGAACGCAGAAATCGATTCATCTATGTATCATTTATATAAATTAGAGATAGCATAGGTGAGCAAGTGTGGTGCTCAGCGCTACAACTGGATACTCTTGCTGTGTCATCCTCATAGGTGCTGTATCACTTGCGTCTGACCTTTGTGTTCGGTCCTTATTGTGCCTAGCTTCACCAATATTATGACCCTTACGTTCTTCAAACAATAAGGTTTGAATTTTACCGACAGAGCACAATCTTTGCGTCACAGGTGTTTGGGAGCCAGAGGCGCGTGCATCACCCATGATTGCTCACTCGGTACTAACCTAGCCAGCAGCCCTAGGGCATTCTGGGAATTTTTTCCAAGATGACTGCCTCTCACTGGAGGTCCTAAGAGTCCATTTTGTACACAACCAACCTGGTACACATTTAGAATGGGTACGGAAAAATCAAAGAGAGTTTTCTCGGTTGGCGCAGTTTCCCGCCGACCGAGAATACTCGGTTGGCGCAGCACAGTGGTTAAGCAAACTAAACAAAGCTGCTGAAGAAATATAAGAAAATTTCCCTTTTTTAACAGTGGTAGATGGTTGGAACAATCTAAAGTGGGAAGGTGGTGGTGGCCAAAATTGTCAGTACTTTCAAAGAATTATATTACAAGGAGAATTTGGGAAGACAGGACACCACGAGCTTAGCTCTTATCCTATAACTACACTTAGTTAATTACACTTATGTAATTACAGTATTTCAGTATTACCTATCAGCACCACCACACATCAGCACCACCACACATCAGCACCACCACACATCAGCACCACCACACATCACCATTACCATCCCATCATACCACACAGCAAGACTCTCATTACTACAACACTGAAACACCACTATTTGCTGTCCTCAGTATATTTTGTGTGTTCATTCTAGCTCCATATATATAACACTAGCATTCAGCAGTGTTTGTTCACTGTACCTTCTTCAATCATTATACTTTTCATATCCTGAGATACGACACACTGGCAATTTCTCTCTTGATCAGCTATGATAAAAAAAGTTTAGTTCTTTTATATTTGGAAATCTATAAAGTATACTCTCAACAAGTACCTAATGTGGGAAGTTCCAGAAGGGTACAAGTCTTTAAAGATACTTTCTAGGTAAAATTATTTTTTCATTTGTCTAATATTTGTGCTGTAGTGCTACTAGTAAATTAACTGGGTCACAATAAGGGGTGCTGCAAGAATGGCTCAGGTTACCTGTATGCATATATATACAATATAATATGTTGATATATAATAATAATATACAATCAGGTGAATTGCTCTGTTAGCAGTACATTACAAGTAATGGCTAAAGTATTGTGTAAATATCTGAGTCAAATGTGAAGCAAAAAACACTTAACTATAAAGAGTGCAGAATAATGTTGTAATGGTGGTTGTATATTTCTGGGGAAGCCCAGGTGCAAGGAGCCACTGGGGCTCGCCCAGAAATTGGTGTGAGATTACATTCACTGCTGGTTTTATGATGTGCTTTGTATACTGATATTGCATGGTTGATGTGTGTATTGTTACAAGGTTGCTGTGTGTGATGTTATGTAATTTGCGTGTAATGTTACGTGGTTGTATATATTCAACAATTATTACACATTATATATGTGTGTAATGTTACGTGGTTGTATCCCTGTGTATGTATATATATATAAATATAAATAATATATATATATATATATATATATATATATATATATATATATATATATATATATATATATATATATATATATATATATATATATATATATATATATATATAATATTATATAATACACACATTCACACATATATAGAAAGGACTGTACATAAAATGTTACACAGTTAAGTGTGTATATTAGAATTTGTTGTCATTGTAAAGACACTAATTATGCTCAATATTTTGGTAAAACTTTATGGCTAAGTTAGAGAAGGAAGGTACAGGGGTATTGCAAAATTAGTAAGGAATTTTTGTACTAAATAATGAGTTAGATTTACAGTGTTTACAAGATAAATCCTAATTCATTACAGTGCTTTCCACTAATCAATATATTTTTATTTATAATTTCCTTGTTATAATTACTCTATAAATACTCAGTTTTTAAGCTGCCAAATATCAATTTACCCTTGAAAAACAATGTAGAGCAGAAGACTTGAGAGAAATTAGCACATTCTCAAAATAAACAGAATTTTGTATTACAATAGATCTTGTATATTTATTTATATAAATTTATTACATTTATGTGTTTTTATGTTTACAGTGAATAAGAAAATATTTGAATTTAATCCAAATGCTAGTTATTCTCAATATAATACTAAATATTTTAAAATACTCTACTATTCTCTTAAAATAAATTAGCAGAATTTTTAGTAAACTTTATATCAAAACTGCAATATCATTATCTAGGCTTCACTTTGGTCTACTTGTTTATATTTTTTTCTTTTGAGTACATATGTTGCATAATGTGATCTCTAATATATATTTATATTTTTTCATTTGACATTGTCTTTGTGACAATTATAACCCGGACGTTGGACAGCTGGTGAATGTGACCCTAAAGGAAGTTACTCTGAACAGGCAGACCCAAACACTGGACTGTGCAGATGCAAGGTAAGGGTGCAATTTGATGTACCTGCATTCTACGTTAATGAGGTATCCACTACTTTAGCTTAGTGTTTTGAAGACCCATTAGTGTATCATTTTATTTGAAATGTCCATAAATTTTTTTAATAATAATAATTTTATACATCAGCATGATGCATCTCTTGCACCCAAAACTAGTTATCCTTTAAATTTTGTATTATTATTATTTACCTGAATTTACCTGAGGGCCACTAGTATGTCTCGATGAGGACAGGAAGCCTTATTATTACAGTATTATACTAAATGCAATTAATTTTGAAATAATTTGACAGTAAACTCAATATTCCAAGTCTATAAATAATTTTGCAAACTGAAAATGGGTATGACTTATTTAATATATTGCACTGGAAGTAACATTTTTTTTTAATTGGTACAGAATGTCAACTGACATAATGCTTTTTCTTAGTATAGGTAACACATTAATTTAGGATAGATAGCATCACAAGGCAAAGAATGAATCATAAGTTAAATATTTAACATTAACAAAAATTACCATGTGAACTTTTAATGTAAATATTTAAATGAATAAATCCAGGTGTGACAGCTGTGTTGTTTATTAAGGGACATGCATTGTTGCCACATATTTTGCTTCACGGAAAAATTTAACTTGCATTTTCAGAACAGCATCCCACTGCTCCATATTAACAAAGAGTTTGTGTATATAGTGTGGGAAGTAGTCACGGGTGGGTCTAGTGGTATTATGTGTGGGAAGTGGTTGTGCCATGTACAGTATAACCATATACAACCATGCACAGTTGGGGGGTGTTTGGAGGTTAGTGATTCAGGTATGCACTAGGGTCCATGTGCTTGTACATACAGCATGTCACTTACATGCTTCACAGCCATATTTATCCCAAGGTCTGCATTCTGTGTCATTTCATCTGATGAGCACCCTTAGTGCCTGAGCATTTAGCTTGGACCTTGCCTACAGACTTTGGAAAGTCCTGCATGTCTTTGATGTGGTCTGCCATGGATCTACTTGATGAGCCCACACTCATTACTTGTGAGTTTCAGGGATGTAAATTGTTATTGGTACAGGCAATGGTCATTCACTCTCCTAGGCAGGCAGCATGTCGTCTCCACCACGCTGACTGTCGGATGGGTGATACCGTCCACCCTGCGACCTGTGATGTTTGTCTTTGCAGTCTTTGTTCTAGTTGGGACTACTACTGGCTCAGAGGATTATCAAGTAGGCAGCTTTATGGGTTAATTTTCCCATATTCGCTGTTTGTGGCTCAGTAATTGTGTGGATGCCTCAGTTGATTTCCTATGGTGTTTATGGATTTGAAGTTGGAGGAATTGATGACTTTTTCCTGCTCTTAAGTTTTCTTCTTCACCTTCCCCTGTTCTCCCTGTTGTGGTTTACCAAGCCTCGTGTCCTCCCTTAACCCTCTTGCTCCAGGCTTTGAAACTTCTGAGGGTTTGTGTGTCGGTTTCTTCCAATTTTTACGGAGTGGGACATCAACAACACACACTTCCAGTGACTCTGCGAGATGTGCATTCACCCCGCGGTGGACCTCTTCATGTCAGCATGGAATCAGTGGCTTTGATCATAAGTGGATCCATTCCCTAATCATGAGGCTCTGGTGGTGGATGCCATTCAGCTGAATTTATCGAAGTAGGGCTTCCTTTTATCTTCCTTGTCTGTATTAAAGATTTACATGGGTATAGTGATCCTTCTGGTTCCTTGGTGGCTTACTCAGCCTTGGTTTCTGGCTCTTCTGACCCATTGTCCAAACCTTGGCATTTTTCCACAGCTCCACCTATTTCAGAGACATACCTAGCTGGTATGATGTTCTCCTCCTGTCTACACATCTGGAAATATGTGTGCAGGTTTATCACCATTTGTATGGTGTGCAGGTAGCTTAGTTGTTAGTATCCCAGAAGCATCTTTCATCATGATAACATTTTGAAATTTCTTGGTGTGCATTTCATCTTCTTGTCTCTCTCCATTATTTTTCTTCTGTTTCTATTCCAGACATTTTGCCTTTCTTGTCTTGGTTGTTTGTCAATCGGAATCTTATGCCTAATACTGTCGCCTCTTATTGGTTGGCCTCAGCGGAACCACTTTTGGTGGTGTTCAGTGTCGGTATTTCTTTGGTACTGTTTCACAAATTGTCTAGTGCATTTTTTCAGCTCAAACCAACTTATTTTCCATTTTAGCTTATATATACAAGAGTTCTTACATTCATGTGCAGCCACTAGCACGCTTAGCATTTCGGGCAATCTTGATATCTTGATATTATGATATATAGTGTTTCGATAGTGTTTCGGGCTATCTTGATGTCTGGATAGGGTGTTGGCTCTCATTCCCTCCCTTCAGTTCTCGGTTACCCCCTTCAGTCCATGGTATGTTTCTCAAGGCTCGGTTCTTATTTGCTTTCGCTTCCAGTTCTTGGGCTGGGGTGCTTCATGCTCTCCTGTGGAAGTGGGGGCTTTGTTCTTTCAGCCCTAGTGGGCAGTGTCTTCATTTACAGCCTTCTCCTCTTCTTGTGAAGAATGTGACGGTTGACTTCTGGAGGGGTCCTTTGGTTGTTTGATTTTTCTGACTGGGGGTTCATCATCTATTGTTTCTGGTTGCAGCTGTTCATTGATATCTATATGCCACCCCATACTGCCTCGGTGGACACGTTTGTTAATCTGAGTTCCTTGATCCCCTGGTCATTTATCTCAGGGTGTCCATAGTGGCCACCTGGGGTTTATCCTCGGGCCCACAGTGTTTGCAACTTTGCAGCTTTTACCTGCTGTTTTCCAACACATCATGGGCTGATATTTGGTCTCAGGGGTCCTGGTGACTCATTACCCAATCTCTGTTCCTGATCCCTATCAGGCTTATGTTGCCTTGGGTCAGGGTCTCGTCTTCTTGAGTCTAGTCTTCACTCTCCTCCACCATGGTAAGTCCCATATTTTCCTTCTTCTCAGTGGTTAGTTAACTACAGGGAGTTAGTTAACTAACCCCCTGTAGTTAGTTAAGACTTTTTAGGTTTTTGCTGAATGTTTCATTACATTCAACAAAAGCCAGCACTGAATGTAATACAATGCCTCTTTCTGGCTGGGCATCAATGGCTTCCTGATCCCCCACTTCCTCTTCCAGGGCCATTGAAGGGCTGTGTTTTTTCAGCTCCGGACTGAGCTTTGTTAATATGTGGAAATAAGGTTCCTGGGGGGTTGCCACTTACTAGTGGCTTGCTGTAACTAGTGATTTTGACTTAACTTCTATAGGTGAAGGGTTTCTGGAAGCATTTGCTGCTGTTTGTTTGTTTGTTTTCTCTTTGTGAACCTTGCAGTTGTTTGTCTTTCTTTACTTCCTGGATGTTTCTTTGGTAAAGGTGATTGGAAAAATCCCCTGATTCCTGAGCCTGTGTGAGGGGACCAGGTTCTGACTGGTCAGAACCTGGTCATCAAGAACAATGAACAAGAACATCAGCCTGGTCTCCCAAGGCTGATGTGATGTATTTGAAGCTACCTCAGCAAGGAGTCATTGAGGCCCAACCAGAAAAAGGTGTTTCATTACATTCAGTTCTGGGCCTTTTGCTTGATAAATACCATGAATATATTATAAACAGTTAATAATTATCTTTCAGCACATTGTGATTTTTCTTAACATTAATTGGATATACTATACCTTTAATATTTTTATTCCAAATATGCAGTGATTACTTTGATTTGTTTCTCTCACACGCATAAATTTTATCATTATAAAACCTTTTATATCATTACTTCCCATCTAACTTACATGAAAATTTTTCTTTTTATTTTCACCAAATCCTATATGGAACATTCATACTGGTGAGTAAAAGCTAGAGCACTAACAGTCACCTAGTTAGGTCACACAAATACTCACTATACAATGACTGTTTTGTATATTTACTTTGTGTGTATGTATTTTCAGTTAGGCTGAAAAAATAAGTGCACATCTTCCTCCAAAAATAGGGATGGTCGCTGAAGAATTTATTTTATTATTAATATTTTCAGTGTTTGTATTGGAATTTCTTCAGCCTTTCGGAAATAGATTTATAATTTTTGTATCCCATCTTTTTATATTTGATTCCTAATATTTTTAAAACTTAGAGTGTTTGACCACACACTGCACACACATCTACAGTTATATGTGTGTAAATCACAAGAATAAACACTTGATTAAAAATGTGAGTGTCAGACCACGGAGGAAAATTGAAACAGGAATTTCCTTAAGTACTTTCGTATATTAATACATCTTCAGAAGAAAAGGTGTATTAGTGAAGATGTATAAAGTGAAGATGCTTCAGAAGAAAGCATCTTCAGACTCCTTCTGAAGATGTATTAATATACAAAAGTACTTGAGGAAACTTCTGTTTCAATTTTCCTCTGTGGTCTGACGCTGTCACATCTACAGTTATGTATGTGTTTTAGGTGTGGTATCATAGCAATCCATCCTCTGAATTGACAGTACGATTTAATACTAAGTGTAATAAGTACATTTCTTTACTGTCATACATAGTACATAATTGTACTTAGGGGCTTGTTACATTTACCTCTCCCATTTCTCCTTGTTTTCTGTTAAGATGCTCAGAATTTTAGGATGAAGTTTTAAAGCTTAGTTTGCTATACACACGTTTTAAATATCAGGAATTTATTTTTTAGTTTTATTAAACAATAGAGATTTTATACAAAATTTGAAAATATCCTGAGTTACTTTACAATTTATTTATATATTTTAGTTTTGTTTTATTTGTTTTATAAAACTGTAATATCAATATAGCTATAGGTTAAGTAGTAATTGTAATAATTGTTTCATTGATGCAATAAAATGCTTATCTTCAAAAACTAAGACGGTTAGGTTAGGTCGTGGTTTTTTATTCAGCTTTTCAGGTAAACTCAAATATTCACAATATATTTGACAGTACGATTTAATACTAAGTGTAAGTAAGTACAATTACTGACTATCATACATAGTACATAATTGCACTTACGGGGCTGTTACATTTACCTCCCCATTTTTGGAGGACGGGCTGCACCATAGCTACCACAGTTGCACATTTCAGTTTAGATTTCACATACTGTATTTGTTAATAACTGTTAAGTATTTTTCATCAATATACATAAATCAACCTTCGAATGTAATGAAACTCCCTTTTCTGGTGGGCCCCCAGTATCTTCCGAAGCTTATCTCTCTGGTGCCACTAAGCCTTAGCCCAACACAAAAGGCCTCTTGAGACCCACCTGTCTACTACCGGGAGCCAGAACCAGACTCTGGCTGACTCTATGAGGTGAGGGGATTTGGAGATCAGAGATCAACTATAAAACTAAGAAAACCCCCAAAAAGCATGGGTGCAACAAAAATATTTGAAGGAAATTAGGCAAATGAATGTTGCTGCAGGGTAACTATCCTGATTGTAATGTGCCTGACTGCTACCAGGTCACTTGAAGTCTCAGTTAGCTTATGCTACTCATTCTGAAGTCAATCTGCAAGACCTCGTAACCCAATTGAGAAAGGAACATAAAGAGGTTGCAGAACTACTTGAGGCCCACCAGAATAGTGTTTCATGACATTCAATGATTAATTTCTGTGGTGGATCCCTCAGCAGATCTCAGAGTTAACTTGCATCACTTACAAAGCTGCTGTCAAAACAACACACATCTGCACATTCCCAAAGTGGGGATTATCAGCCAGGTGGTTAGACCAAATCTCCTTGCAGGTGACCTGAGAAAGGTGGACCTTGGAACAAGAAACGTGAGAAATGGGATGTAAAGCAGAACACGAAGAGTAGAGCTCAATGAGGGATGGATGCAATGACGTGCCATCAAAACTACTGCAAAATGGGTTAATGATTCAGATGATGAGCTAATGATGGTGACCATTAATGAGACATGATGGAGAAGAAACCCCAAACCAGGGCTGATGTAACCGAGAACAGCCTGTGCATTGAAAGAGGATGGGTCTTGACATTGAATCCAAAAACAAAAATTTAAGATAAAACAGAGTATGCACCACTAAACCCCCCAACAATTGCAGTAGGATGCCCATGAGTGAATGGAGAAAGCTCCCTTAGCCAGTTGCAGCCTATTGGGAACACTGCTATCTATATATCAAGGAGCACATTAATAAACTAGGAAAGATGCAAAGACATGGTACTAAATGGTTTCTTGGATCTGAAAATAACAAGAGTATGAAGGGAGGCTGGATGTATTAAGTATGTCAAAATTACAGAATAGAAGGAAAAGGTGCTATGATCACATAACAAATCGTGATGGGAACCATTTTGATAACAGGAGTTTTGTATACCTACAGCTTCAAGAACAAGATGCAATAGATTCAAACCAAGAAAAAAAAAAGTCTGAAAAAATAAATGTATATTCTCTATTGTGAATAGAGTTGTAGACCCATGCAATAAATTAAAGGGAAGGGTATTTGATGCTAAAACCATTTGAAGCATTCAAATTTAATAAATGGATGCTGATGTCAGATGATAAAGACTGTAGTGTAGATGGGATGCAATGAACATAGACTTCATCCTGTAACTACATTATGTATTTTACACATATTGTATATATATACACATTTTGTTTAAATAAACATATTTTGTTATTTTTGTGAGTTTAATTATCTACTTTGTTTCATTATTCTAAATACAAAAATTTGTATTAGAAAAAAATTGAGATGTATATTTGTTTGGCCAAGAAAATTGAGAGTAATTATGTTCCATTCTTTTCAGGAATTTGTTATGGGGCCCAAATGTGATCAATGTAAGCCAAACGCCTTTTACCTTCATGAGGCAAATCGAGATGGATGTATTGAGTGTTTCTGCATGGGTATCACTCGCCAGTGTTCTTCATCTAATTGGTACAGGCAGCAGGTATGGAGTTAACTAAGATGCAATGTATTGTCATTTAATAATGTATAAAAAATTATGAAGTCCCTAGTATTATACTATAATATGCTAAAAATAATTTAAAATAATTGGAAAAGCTAAAATAATATTTTCTATGATATTTGTTTGTAGGAATCAGTATCCTTTACCAATGACCGCCAAGGATTTGAACTGGTTGACAAGTTCCAGAATACAATCATCAGCAATGATATATTTGTTGACTCGGTCCGTCAAGAACTGGTGTTCCGGGAATTCTCCGGAGTTTCCCAGAAGGTACAGTATGTTCTCCTTCTTGTTACAAATTAATGAAACTCATTTTGCATTTAACATTCAACATAATAATATGACTAAATTTTCTTGTTTGTATGTATCTGCAACAAAAAAGTACTATTTTTTTAATTCATGCTGTTTGTGCATTATTTTATTCATAAAAGTGCATGCTGGCAAATATCTGAGCACAAGCTTGTAAAGTGACAAAACAACTTTGACAAACAAGAATTGTGTTTACAAATACAGATGGGTTTATCTGAAAAAACTGTATGTATATAGTGTGATAACAGCACAAACAATATGGTGGGGGGAGGAATCTTGGTGAGGGAGGGAGGTAGCATCAGCTGACTGTGTGTGGCAACCTGTTACTGTCTGGACTCAACATACCAGCTTAGTGGTTTGCTATGGTGAACACAAATGTAGGTACTTATATATAACGTGTGTGTATAGTGTAATAAAGGCAAAAGGAGTATGTTGGGAGGAGCCATTTTGGTGAAGGTGGTGGCGTCGTCTGCTGGATGGTGTGTAACTTGTCATGCAGTGTATGGTGGCCACTATGCTGTTTGGACACCATAGTAAACATAAATGTAGATACTTATATATAACCTTTGTATATATTGTAATAACAGCACAAAAAAAATATGTTGAGAGGAGGCATTTTGGTGAGGGAGGTGTTGGTGAGGGAGTGAGTATCTGCTAGCTGCTGTGTCACTTGTCGTGAAGTTTTTGTGGCCACTGTGTTGTTTGGACACCATACCATCTTAGTTGTACAGTTATGGTGAACAAAACGTGTAGATATTCACATGTAACGTGTGCAAATTGTGTAAAAAAAAACAAAACAATAACAGTATGGTGGGAGGATGAATGTTGGCGAGTGAGGTGTTGGAGGGAGGTAGGTGGCGTCTGCTAGCTGCTGTGTTGTGGCCACTCTTGTTGTTTTGACTTGCCATACTAACTTAGTGGTTCCTTATGGTGAACACATATGTAGATAGGTATATACACTGTGTGTATATAGTGTAATAACAGCAAAAACACTGTTGGATTGATCATAGAATATACAGTGCGTGTCTCAAATATGAGCCCCATAATTTTGAGTATAGCAATGTTCCGCACATTGAACTATATAAATCCCACAAATTACACACTTCTGAATAATATTAACAGTAAAAAAAAAAAGAAATGAGAAACGTTAAAATAATTGTGAAAAATTATATTCTTGGCAACTGCCGCCCCAATGGGTAGCGGGGTCTAGTGACCTTGACCGCTCCATCGCTCAGCGCCCATAATTTGCTCAACTTCTCAGCTCCATCATGGCTAAAGTATGTCACATACAATATTTTTTTCTGTGGGAAGCCCCTATGGCTCCCTGGAGTTTATTGGGTTAATGTATGTTATATTAGACTGGGACATTAGTTATGGAGTTCAGACCTACCAGGAACCAGCACCAGAACCTTCTGAGAGGTTTCAGGGAGCAATGGCCCTGGAAAACCGCCTTGTGGTTGGGGGTTTTCCTTATCTGCCATCGACCGGGGTTAGGCACCCAGAAAGGTAAGCATAAAACAAACCCCACATGGTAAGAAACTCAAACAAAAAAATGAACAGAGAGGTAGAAACTCCCAATAATCCCAAGGAAACAAGCAAACATCCTACTTTACTGCCGCGCCGCTCGTCCGCGCAACCCTCCCTCCCAAGGAGCGGGGGGGGCCCCCCAGACCTCACCGCACCAGCTACCTAGCAACAGTTCGTAAGCTAATGTGAACCGGGACAGACACTTCTTTGGCCTCAGATTCCTGTGTGGTGTTTGCCTGTGTGGCATTCTCTACTGTCTTATCGTGGTATGTGGTGGCCAGGAGTACCTCATCAGTGCTGGGGCTGCATGCGCTTAGGGGCTTCCTTTTCTAGGCGCCCTGTGAGTACTGCTCCTGCGTGTGAGGGTTATCTTCCCTGGGGCGTTCGGGAACCACTTCCGTAGGGGTTCTTGCTTCTCGGCATTTGCCTTGCCCTTGGGGCCAGCTGGGGATGGGGGTCCTTGTTTGGCCTTGGGTAGGGAGTGGTGGTGTACTGGTTAGGGCGTCAAGATGTTGCGCGACCTGCCACCTACGCGGCGACCGGTTCCTGTTGCCTCTGGAGACGTTGTACTTTTGCGGGGTTTTTCTTTTTGCTTTTATTGCCTGGTGGGGGTCTGCCTCGTGGGACTATAGTTCCCCACTGATACTGTTTTGGTGGCTCTCTGCTAGTCCCCCGTGCTTGTACACGTCACAGGGGTTTCAGTGTTGTCCTCTTCTTCTTGTTAGTTTGGGTTTTTTAACCAGTTAGCAACTCCTTGCCCTGGCTTCCCGTAGATGTTACCCTACGAACCCTTGAAACCCCTGTCAGGGCTCGGTGGACCCATGAATGCGTCTCCCGAGTTCCAGCCTGCCTTGTGTGGGTTTGAAGGTTGCTGTGTGCCCTTGTCTCAGGGTGACAGTCATCTGTTTTGCCTCCATCATGCTGCCTGTTGGATCAACGACACCTTTGATCCGGAGTCCTGCGAGTCGTGCTCTCTGCTTGTGCTCCAGTTTTAATCTCATGATGTTGCTGTTAGGGTACAGGCAGCATCCGTGTTGCATGTTAGGTTTAGATTACTGCAACGTGCTAGGTTGGTTCCCACCCGGATGCCCCGAGGCTGCTCTGTTTTGGTTTTAGGGACCCGGACCTGGGGCGTTATTTGCTTCGACTTTGGCTCTTTCTGTGCTCCCTGGTCCTTCCCCTGTTGTTCATCCTGCACTGCCCCCCCCCTCCCTGTATCCAGCTCCCAAACGTCTGATGGTTTCGGTTTCAGCACAGGGTTTAGTTGGTAATGAGACTCGGGTGGCTTTGGGGCTGCCCCATTCGGGTCGGAGATGGAGGCATTTGAGCCGGTTCCTCCTGCCGAGGCTTCTGGGTCCAACCAGCAGGCCCCCCTTCTTGTCTGCCTTTTCCCTGGACTTTGCCTTTTCTTCAGGGGTAGAGGGTTTGGAGGACGGCTCTGCCCCGGGTCCCGACGTGGGGATCTTGGGGCTGGGGAGGAGTTGACCTGGGGGCCTTGGGCCCCCTTTGACCCCACTTGGGTGCTTTTGTCTTCCTCGCGGAGCTTATTGTTGCAGGGGGAGGGGTTTTCTTACCCCCTTTTCCCTATATGAGTATGATTTGGGTTTGACTCTTCCCCGGTTTCGGTTCCGGGCTCCTTTGGGTACCTCGGCTCCATCTTTCCAGAGGTTTTCTACTTCCCGTATCTCTGCAAAGGAGGCTTGGGAGGCTCTTGCTGCATACCTCTTGCGAGACCTGGTTTATGCCTCTGTGATGGATCCGTCCTCTTTTAAGTTCAGTTCTTCTTCCCGCTTTTGGGTGCGTTTGGACTCCTTCAGCCTTCTGGAGTCTTCCTGGCTGGCAGACTGCCCATTCTTTTCGTTGGGGGCGTGGCATGGGTTCTGCTGGATCCGCGTGCTTGATTGGCGTGAAACTTCTTCAGTTCTGCAGGTTTACCTGGGGGGCGAGTTTGAGCACCTTAATGCATGCTTGTTTGCCCTCGTGCTTTCTCGAGATGTTGGCCTTTTCCAGCTTCACGTGCAGGTTCCTCTTCTTTCGGCATCGTTGGTTGCATAGGATTTGTGCGCCCGTGGGCATTTGGCTTCAGTCTTACATTGCTTTTCCCTTCTCGAGCTGTCTTCTGCCTGGCTTGAGGAGGATGTGGAAGCGTTGAGTGATGGGCCTTCGTCAGGGGCGCAGAGTTTGGCAACTAGGGCGTTGGCTTCATCTAGTTGTATTCCTATGTCGGACTTGTTGTTTCTCCAGAGTGGTCGTTCTCGGCTGTCTCGGGGTGGTCGTGCCAGGGTTCAGAGTTCTGCTGGTCGAGGTGGGCCATTGGTGCCAGTTTCTGAGCCGATTTTGCCTTCAGTGCCGGCGTCGTCTGGTCAGCGCGGTGATCACTCTGTTCGACGTTTGGTTTCTCGTAAGGGGGTCACTCTGTTTACCCACATGTGATCCCTCGATTTGTGGGCCTTTTCAGACTTGTCATCCGGCCTGTGGTGGCGTTGGGCGGCTTGTCCTCCTTTCGGGGGTTCGGGGCTAACAGGGCAGGCTGCTTCTCCTGCTCTTCATCAAGTCATCTTGGAGTGGGTGCGTTTGGGCATGGTCGAAATGACCCCGTCCCTCAAGTGGGTTTCCCGCCTGTTTCCAGTGCCGAAACAGGACTGTGCAGATCTGAGGTTCATTCTGGACTTGTGACGTCTGAACCCCTGGATTCCTTGCCCCTCCTTTCGGATGACTAATCTGTCTCAGGTCCGGCTTCTGTTGGAGCCGGGTGCATGGATGGTGTCCCTGGACTTCAAGGACGCTTATTGGCACGTTCCTATTCATCTGGGGTTCAGGGACTGGTTAGGTTTCATGGTGGGGCGTCAGGGGCACCTTGCGTTTTCATGCGTCTGACCCGGGTCGATGACAGATAAGGAAAACCCCCAACCACAAGGTGGTTTACCTGAGCCATTGTTCCCTGAAATCTCCCTGAAGGGGCCAGGTTCTGGTGCTAGTCCCTGGTAGGTCTGAACTCTATAGCTAATGTTAAGGGGGCGTCTGGTTGGCATCTGGGTCCAAAAATGCAAAAATGAAAACTCGTTCGATTTCAATCAAACTTTTTTGACAAGTTCTATATGAAAAGTGTTTCATCTGGTCCAAGTTTCAGCATCGTAGCATAAATAGGAAGGGAGAAAAAAAATATTGAAGTAGTTGTGAAAATTATGCAAAAATGGTCAAAATCGATTATCAATCAAAAGTGTCAACTGAAATCATAACTACGACTCTTTGCTATCACAATAGCATATATTAAACAAATATTATAATTAGTTTAATTGGAAAAAAATTTTAAGAAAAAAAAAAAAGGATTTTTTTTTTTTTTAAATATTTTTTTTTTTTTTTTTTTTTTTTTTGGCGATTTGCATCAAACTTACACACCTGACTGTACGTAAGCCTATCTGTAAGGATGCCAATTTTGGAGAAAATTGGTTGATGTCAACCTCAGCCACAGATTTTAGAACCTTAGACTTTATTCATTTCTGTTTTTTTTCAATTGACACAAACGTTTACAAAACTGATTCCTTTTTTATTCAATTTACATGAAACTTACACAGTATATGTGGAGGGCATGTCTCTACATTGGGGGGCTTTCATTTTTCTCTAAGTTCATTTATTGATTTTATAATAGCAATAAACATGCCATATTTGCAAAAAAAATTTGGGGAACTTTGAACATTTGTATTAGGAAAACTAAAGATGTTTTGGAAATTCTAAATCCCCAAATCCTTTATTATATGCTAATGTGTCAGAAAAGTGTCACAGAATAATTATATCTGAAACGTGTGTTCTGAAGTGTGGACTTGAAAATGTGTAAAAAACGTTGAAAAAAAAAAAAAAAAAAACTCCCTTTCTATTTACGCTGCAGTACTGAAACTTGGGACAATTTAAGCACTTTTCATATACAACTAGAAAATTAATATTGGTTGACATTGAACAACTTTCACTATAATAACCAGATGCCCCCTTAAATCTCCTTTTCAAGCAGGGTTGTATATGGTTAGAACAAGTTGAGGAGGGAGTGGCTGTCAAAACCTTCAATGATTTCAAAGCATCATATGATAAAGATTATTGGGAAAATAGGACAGTTGATTAACCCTTAGACAGCGATTATCGTCAATTGTTGATTCACAGGGTAATGCGGTTGTCATCATATGAAAATTACTGAATTATTGTCTGGGTTTTACATGTAGGATGCAAATATGGATATAGTAGGTCTATGTGGATGCAATGGAGTTTACCATTTTCCATGAAAAAATCCTGCTACCATTTCATGATACAAATGTTGTATTCATTTTGAATGTTACTAGGGATATGCAGTCATCATATGATGATTTAAACAATTATTGTCTGGGTTTTACATTTGTGAAGCAAATATGGATATAAAAGCGCTCTCTGGATGTAAATAAAGAAAAACAGGTGATAAAACATCAAAGAATAATTCAGATAGTGTCAGCAAAATCCAGCACCAGGTGTTGACAAGTGCCAGATGCAGACTTACGAAGTGCCATCACCTAGTGAAACAATAAATATTCCCCTATTTTCATGTTTTTCTTATATTCTGCATGTAAATTAATAATTCTATAATATAAAAAAAAAAATGATTTTTTTTGTGCATAGGCCAGTATGACCATTTCTTCATAGCCGCTGTCTAAAGGTTAAGCATCAATTGAGCGTGGGTATAATTAATAATATAATTATTTAAAATTAGATAATAAAAAATTTTGTTGAGCAGTTTGTTGTATGCTATTGCCAGTAAATTATTTTGTTTAATATAGTGTAACACAATTAACAGTATATTCATTTATAACAATATCCAGCCTATATCATAAATAAAATTTTGTCCCTTTCAACAGGTCTTCTATTGGAAATTGCCACAACGGTTCCTTGGAAACAAAATATCTTCTTACGGTGGTAATTTAACATACAGTTTGCGTCATGTACCAGCACCTGGAGGTCAGCTTTCTACAAATAATGATTTTGCAGTGGAAATCTATGTAAGTCCATGTTTCATTTTTGGTATAAGGAAAAGTACATTTTAGAATTGTTTATTATTTATGAAAACATTGAAAATAGCAGGAATTGGGACATTTTGAAGTTTGAAAAATATTTGTTTAAAAAGGATTATAGCCCTCTGGCTGTGCACCCCATTAGGTGATGCGGTGGATAAATATGGTGAAACTGCTTATCCCATCTGGTGGTGATGTATTAGGGTACCGCATTAGATTTAAAAGTCCTGCATATACATGGGGCTCACATTTGCTTCCTCAGGCCTACAGTAACCACCCCCCAATCTTGAAAAAAAAAATCTTTAGCCCCTCATTTTTCTTCTAGGGCCTTAGTGAAATGATGTAAAAAGATGAGGACTATGTTTGGCATCACCATCCAATGTCTGGACATGCAGGGCAGCCATACTAGGAACCATTGAACTTTTAACAACAGCAAATGAGTGATTACTATGTATGTATTTACAGGCAAAACGTGTGCTCTGTGTAATTATGAGGGGGGGAGGAGAGTTGTTACTGTTTGGAAGGGGAGTCCCCTTCCATTATAACATCAGGCAGTGATGACTTTTCTGGGATACACTCTTTGGCATGTTTTGCCTGCATACCACTAGGACCTGCTTGTGGCTCACTGCTTGCTTCTCTTACTAAGAATCTGTCTAAAAGCACTTGTCTTTCCCTACATTTTAACATTTGTCTGTAGTAAGACATCACATTGTCATTTAAAAGGTCATTCACATTGTCATTTAAAAGGTCAATGCAATGGCCTGCTAAAGCTTTATCTGGGTGAGTTTTTTCAACAAAACTTTGCAGTTCTTCCCATTCTTCACACATTTTCTTAATGAGGAAGGGATATCCTCTACTGCCTCAACTCACAACTATTTTCTTAGGTTGAACCTTACCACTGACTTTCTGCGACCCATGGCGTGATATATAATAATCAGTTTTATGTTCAAAAAGCAAAAAATCACCACAAAAACGGAATTTCTTATAGGCATGATTGTCACTAAGCAGGCAACTCTAGTAAACTGATGCAGGTTGGCCCGTGACCGAGAACCATGCGCTCGGTCGACCCAAACGTGTACCAACAAATATCGTTAGTCGACGACACTATCGTAAGTCGAGTCGCATCTTTCGATCAAATTTACATCGTAACTCAAAATTATCGTAAGTCGAGGCAATTGTAAGTCGAGGTGCCACTGTATATATGTATATATATAAGTATATATATAATAGTAATATATATATATATATATATATATATATATACACAGTAATATATATATATATATATACTAGTAGCCAGAACGCACTTCTACTATTCAGGCCGATTTGCCTATAAGCCATTTCCCATTAATATATAAATATATATGATAAAGTATATATTATATATATATAGTTATTAATAGATATATATATATATATATATATATATATGGGTTAGGTATATATATATATATATATATATAAATTATTATATATATATATATATATATATATATATATATATATATATATATATATATATATATATATATATATATATATATATATATATATATATATATATATATATATATATATATATATATATATATATATATATATATATATATATATATATATATATATATATATATATATATATATATATATATATATATATATATATATATATATATATATATATATATATATATATATATATATATATATATATATATATATATATATATATATATATATATATATATATATATATATATATATATATATATATATATATATATATATATATATATATATATATATATATATATATATATATATATATATATATATATATATATATATATATATATGTCGTACCTAGTAGCCAGAACGCACTTCTCAGCCACCTATGCAAGGCCCGATTTGCCTAATAAGCCAAGTTTTCATGAATTAATTGTTTTTCGACTACCTAACCTACCTAACCTAACCTAACCTAACTTTTCGGCTACCTAACCTAACCTAACCTATAAAGATAGCTTAGGTTAGGTTAGGTAGGGTTGGTTAGGTTCGGTCATATATCTACGTTAATTTTAACTCCAATAAAAAAAATTGACCTCGTACATAATGAAATGGGTAGCTTTATCATTTCATAAGACAAAAATTAGAGAAAATATATTAATTCAGGAAAACTTGGCTTATTAGGCAAATCGGGCCTTGCATAGTAGGCCGAGAAGTGCGTTCTGGCTACTAGGTACGATATATATATATATATATATATATATATATATATATATATATATATATATATATATATATATATATATATATATATATATATATATATATATATATATATATATATATATATATATATATATATAATACATAATAAACAGAACACTTCCCCATATGAGAGAATCGAACCATGGGCCAGCCAGGTGCCTGACCAGAGCATTAACCAATAGGCCACGCCTCAGATCGTTAAAAGGGCAGAAATTTGGATGGCTTTTCCACAAAACCTTTTGTCCATTTTTGACTAGGACCTGCCTTACGCTACAAAAGACCTAGTCAACAATGTCTTCTATAACGGTTATGTTGAAGACGTTATTAAAAGAAAGTGACACGCCATGCAACCCCTGAAGAATCAGTTAATACAAAACTTGTACCTCCTATTAGACTGTTTTACAGGAACTTCTTTTTGATGGCTCATAAAACGGAGGAAAGAGTCCTGAAAGATATTATTGATAGGAACAAACGATTCAAACGGCAGGGGATCGTATTCCAGGGACCATAGGATTAAGGACTTGCCCGAAATGCTACGCGTACTAGTGGCTGTACAAGAATGTAACAACTCTTGTATATATCTCAAAAAAAAAAAAAAAAAAAAAAACGTTATTCCCACAGACACAAATCAGAAGATACAATTAACAATTGATACAATTAACAAATTAGATAAGCAGGAGTGTCATTCATTTGCAGTCCTAGTTCATAGTCTATAACAGAGATTTGAGAAAACACAATAGGATCGAGTTTAGTTTATCGTATCCAAGGATCTGGTAAATGCTAGTCCTTAAAGGTTAGAGTTCACTGTACTATTAATCTTCATTCCACTATACACATGTATATTTAAGTATTTATTTATTTATTTATTTATTTATTTATTTATTTATATATATATATATATATATACATGAAGGTACATTGGGTTTTAAGAGTACATAGCATTGATGTCTTCACATTCTTGTAAAGCCACTAATACGCATAGCATTTTTGGCAGGTCCTTAATCTAACAGATAATTTTAAGTAGGTTATTTGAAGCAAGATTTGAAAACGATCCCTTGCTTATTCATATTATTACACCTTACCTTTCGTACCTTTTGCTTTGCTCATATCTTCCGCTAAGAATTCCATCTCCTCACCTCTTTCTTGTCTATTTATTGCCCTTGCTTCCTTCTCATCACAATCAACTTGATAATGGTCCAGGACGGACCAAAACATCATTCTCTTCAATTCTAGTGTGTGGTTTGGTCAACAAAATTTGAAGAATATTAACAGGTATATTGTAAGAAAATTTGAAGAAAAGTAATAGGTACATTATAGTAAAATTTGATGGTGATCAACAGATACATTGTAGCATTATTTGAGGATTATTTTGAGGTTCATTGTAGTAAAATTTGCATGAAAATTTCAACATAACAACCATGATATGAGATGATAGCAGTTATTACAATATATATATATATATATATATATATATATATATATATATATATATATATATATATATATATATATATGTCGTACCTAATAGCCAGAATGCACTTCTCAGCCTACTATGCAAGGCCCGACTTGCCTAATAAGCCAAGTTTTGCTGAATTAATATATTTTCTCTAATTTTTTTCTTATGAAATGATAAAGCTACCCATTTCATTATGTATGAGGTCAATTTTTTTATTGGAGTTAAAATTAACGTAAATATATGACCGAACCTAACCAACCCTACCTAACCTAACCTATCTCTATAGGTTAGGTTAGGTTAGGTAGCCGAAAAAGCTAGGTTAGGTTAGGTTAGGTTAGGTAGGTTAGGTAGTCGAAAAACAATTAGTTCATGAAAACTTGGCTTATTAGGCAAATCGGGCCTTGCATAGTAGGCCGAGAAGTGCGTTCTGGCTACTAGGTACGACATATATATATATATATATATATATATATATATATATATATATATATATATATATATATATATATATATATATATATATATATATATATATATATATATATATATATATATACAGTACTAATACATACTAATACATACATACATACATACATACATACACATACATACATACTTTTGACTCTATGAATTTATGATGTGTTAATCTTTCAGGGTAATGACATCACTCTAAAACACTTTAGCAGAAACCAGTTAAGTGCAACTCAGCAAGAAACAGTCAGTGTGCCGCTCTATGAGCAATACTGGGAGCGACAAGATGGCCAGGAGGTCAACCGTGAGCATTTCTTGATGGCTTTGGCTGATCTTGAGAATATTCTTATCAAAGCAACATATACTACCAATTCTCGAGAAGTGGGGTAAGTTGACGGTACAGTATACCTAGCAGGAAATATTTGCTAAATGGCCATCAGAGATTTACATACAGTATCTCCCTTTAATGTTCCTGTTTTAAAAGAGTCAAGAGGGTTAACAGTAATGTCAGTTTTAAAATATTAAATCACTACATATGTAAATTCAACTGTTGGTTGTGAAGACATCTTTATAGGCTAAAAAATCCAGACTTTGTTTTTGACCTCCACCAGATGACAGCCCAGATCACAATGATTTTCTGGAGGGAGCCCCTTCGGCTCCCCAGAGCTATCCGGGACTCATATGAATGTATTAGACCCAGGCATAAGTCAAAGCGAATAGAGATCTTAGGCCTTACCGGGAACCACAACCCAGAACCTGGTCCCCCTCAAAGAGATGCATGAGGAGCAATGGCCTATAGAAACCCTAGTGTGGTTGGAAGGATGTCTGCCTACTTTGGAAGTAGTGGTTTGAAAGTATGTCTATGTCTGCCATCGATCGGGTCAGGCACACAGAAAGGTAGGCGCCCCAAAGCAATACCTATCTGGTTAAAATATTGTTACTGAAGGCCGAACTAATTTTACAGAACCCCCAAACAAAAAATGAGCAAACGAGCATGACGTCACAACTGTCACAATGCCGCTGTCTGTGCAGCTCCCCCCCCTCCCCTGGAAGGGAAAGGGAGAGCCCTAAACCCCCATGCCAGCTATCCATACCTTCAGTTCAGTGGCTGATGTGAGACCTGGCAGTTATGTGACTATCTCCAGACTTGTTCTATTGCTGTGCCTTGTAGTGTGGTCTTGTCCTTGGTGGTGTGCAAGCCAGAAGTAATTTTACCTGTACTCGGGCTGCATGTGCCTAGGGTTACCTTCCCCCGGTGCTCTGTAAGTACTGCCCTTGTGGCTTGGGGTTATCTTCCACAAGTCGCTTGAGATCTACCTCCACTGTGGTCTTTTGCTGCTTGGGGATTGCCCACCCATGGAGTCAGCTGGGGTGTTTCATGCTCCCCTGTTTTCCTCTGGGTAAGAGGTAGCTTCGTCACTGGTAGGGGCACAAGGTACTGTTCTGCTAGTTTTCACCATATAACATTGGCCGGCTCTGTTCCGCTTGGATCCTTGTGCTCTTGCAGGGTTTTTCTTTTCTTTTCATTTCCCTGCCTGGTGGGAGTCTACCCCTTGGTGTCTGGTGTTGGTACTTCTTATATTGGTGGTCCTCCACTAGGTCCCCATGAGTGTACATGTCCCAGAGCTTAAGCTTTTAGCAGTTGGTTTGGAGGACAGCTCGGCCCCTGGGCCTGGAGTGGAGGTTCCGGGATCCTGGTGTGGAGATACCCGGGGTGTGGAGATACCCGGGGTGTGGGAGGAGCTGACTTGGGAGGCTTGGGCCTCGTTTGAATGGTGACAGCTTGTGAAACAGCTATGGTTTGACTCTGTTTTGGTTCCCTCTAAGCAGGGCTTATTGTTACAGGAGGTGGGGCTTTCTTATCCTGCCTCCCTGTATGAGTTTGATATGGCATCAGGTGCTCCCTGGATTTGGTTCTGGGTTCCCTTGGGCTCTTCGGTCCTGTCCTTCCAGAGGTTTTCGGCCTCCCACATCCCACCACATGAGGTGTGGGAGACCCTTGCAGTTTACTTCCTGCGTGACCTGGATTACACCTCGATAATGTATAACACACTAAGTGTTAACCAGATTGGGTTTGTTTTGTGGCGCCTGCCTTTCTGGGTGCCTGACCCGGTCGATGGCAGACATAGAATGCTTCCAACCACACAAGGGTTTCTATAGGCCATTGCTCCTTGTGCCTCTCAGAGGGGGCCAGGTTCTGGTTCATGGTCCCCAGTAGGCCTAAAAACTCCATTCGGTTTGATGCCAGGGTTTAATACGTTCATATCAGCCCAGATAGCCCCGAGGAGCCTCTTGGTCTCGCCCAGAAAATGGTGTTTCATTACAGTCAATGCTGGTTTTTTCATTGTGATCAGGGCTTTTCAAGGTTTTTCTTTCATATTTAGTTTTTGTGAATAAAAATGTTTGCCAGCAAGAGTAATCTGGTTAGACCAAGTAGGAGAAAGACGTATCATAGAATAGAGGGGAAATGCCTCTGTTTATTGATCAAAAGAGGAGATCATAGCTGGGTAGTTACATGGTGGTAGACATGTTTGATGTTGGCCATTTACCCTCTTCTGACATAAAAAAAAATATTTTGGAAGTCAGTTCTAATGGCAAAGATTGAGAGAATTTCTCAGGGCTCATAAATGAATGAGATTACTTGAGCAGTTTCAAATACTGTATTGTTAGCTACAAGCTTGTTGATCATATTTTAGGTTAGTTAAATACTGTACTGTATATATAGTTTTGCTTTTCTGTGGGGAGCCCCTTTGGCTCCCTGGAGCTATTGGGCTAAAATGCAAATCATTAGACTGGGGCATTAGTGTATGGAGTTTAGTCTACCAGGGACCACGGGTCGGAACCTGGCCCACTCAGAGAGGTGCAGGGAACAATGGCCATGGAAAATTCCCCTGTGGTTGAGGGTTTTCCTTATCTGCCATCGACCGGGGTTAGGCACCAGAAAGGTAACCATAACAAAACAGACCCCACATGGAAAGAAAATTGCCACTGAAAACCGAACAGAAAGGCAGAACTCCCTGCAATCCCAAGCAAACAAGCAAACGTCACGCGGCGTCCCATGTCCGCGCAGCCCCCCACCCTTCCCAGGAGGGGGTAAGGGAAGTCATGAACCTCCCGCACCGGATGCAAGGCTCCGGCGTAGGAGATCCCCTTCTGCCTCTCTAGCGATCGCTGGGTTCATCCTCCTGGGGCCTTGTGTCAGTTGCTGCGTCGCCGGCTTCCTCTTAAGTTTTTTTTGGGTTTAGTGCCTTGGTGTCTCCCCAAGCCCTGACTCGATGTGTTCACAAATGTGTCGTCTCTTAGCTGGGGCTTTGTGACCACAGTGTTCACCAGGCCGGCCAGAGGTGGTGGGGTCCGTTCTTCCGTCAGGCTCACAGCACCGTGCAGGAGTTCGCAGGGTTTTGGCTGTCTCTTTGGAGGATTTGGGTTGCTCGGAGTTCAACCATCTGGCTCAATTCAGAGTGTTCTCCAGTGGTTCACTGCCTGAACCACGGAGGTTCTCTTTGGTCCTTGCCTCTTTGGAGCTGGTCTTTTTGAGTGGCTCGTCTACTGGCTTCGCTGGGTTTGACTCTTAGTGCAGTTCATATCCGGGGAATGTCCAACGTCCTGATGGACGGCCTGTTTCAGTTCATTTCCCTGTTCACGAAATGGATGGTCAGTGCCGACTCCTTCAATTGGCTCTGCCGGACATATGAACTCCCAGAAGTAGACCTCTTCGTGTCAGCGTGGTCTCAGCATCTCCCAATATATGTGGTGCCTTCTCGACTGCGAGGCTTTTGTGGTGTATGCCTTTCGGCAGGACTGGTTGAGGTGAGGCTACCTGTACCTCTTCCCCCTGATCCAGCTGTTGCTTCAGGTTCTAGTTCAGTTGGAGTCTTACCACAGGAGTGTAGTTCTTGTGGCCCCTTGGTGGCTGGTCTGGCCTTGGTTTCAGGCACTGCTTGCTCGGTGTCCGAACCCGGGGGGGGTTTTCTGTGGCTTGCTTCTTCCAGCAGGTGGAGCAGTCTGGTACACAGCTGGTTCAGTCTTCTCCTCCGCTCTTCACATCTGGTCTTTTTGATGTGGGTGTATCACCACTTGTATAGAGATCTTAGTTGGTGTCCCACCTGAGAGCTTCATCTTGGTGACAGTATGAATTTTCCTGGCAGTCTTTCCTCCATTTTCACTCTCTTCGTACGTTGTCTTCTATTTCTGATCAGGTTATCTTGTCCTTTCTGTCTTGGCTGTTTCAGGACCGTCATTTAATGTCTGATACTGTTGCTTTGCATCGTGCGGTGTTGGCAGAGCCACTCCAGCTTGCGTTCGGAATGAATGTTACTTCTGCCCCATTCTAAAGGCTTTCTCATACTTTGTTTCACCTCCGGCCTGCTCATGCGCCGCCTGAGCCATCCTGGTCCTTGAACATGGTGCTCTATCTTTCTTCTCCTTGGTTTGTGGTGGCCCCTTCAGTTCAAGATTGTTTTTCCAAGGCTCTGTTTCTATTGGCATTGGCCTCTGGGGGTCAGGTCGGTGAACTTCAAGGTCTCCTCTGGTGCAGGGTTTTATGCTCCTACAGTCCTGGTAGTTGCTTTTTACAGTTGCAGTCTTCTCCTTTTTTGTGGTGAAGAATGAAATGGCTGCTTTCTGGAGGGGGTTCTTAGGTTATTGATGCTTGATTGGTCAGGCTGGGGGTGTATCATGTGTTGTGTTCGGTTGCAGCTCTTCGGCATTACCTGTGCGCTTCGGCTTCTGTGGCCGGGGATGTTCTTTGGGTTTATCTGGTTTCCCTCATTCCCTGTTCCTTGGCTTGGGGTCTCCCTCGTTGTCTGCAGGATTATTAAGTCTATCCAGCCTGCAGTCTATCCTCTTGCCCATGATTTTAGGAAGTTTGCTGCATTGGCTGCCATGTTTGGCAAGATGTCTTTGGCTGATATTTGGGTGTGGGGATTTTGGAGGACGAACAGGGTTCTGGCTGCCCAATATATTATTAATGTTCCTGGGCCTGGGCATTCTTGTGTTGGTTTGGGTCGCAGGTTGCCGCCCCCTTGTCTCGACTTCGCATTGAGGAGTGTGTGGCGGCCGCCTCCCGAGAAAGTCCCTCTTTTCCTTATCATATCGGAGTTATGTAGCTCCAGGAAGTTGAAGGGGCTCCCCCACATAAAACCAGCATTGAATGTAACAAAACGTCATTTTCTGGGAGAGGGAGCCTCGAATGCTCCCTGGCAACCCTCCCACCTCTGGTCGGCAGGATTCTTACCCTTTGAACTGGAGTGGCTGGGTCACAGGCATGAAAGGTCCGGGGCTCCACATGAGCAATTGAGTGTGATGTTTGCTTGTTTCATTGGAATTGAAGGGAGTTTTGCCTCTCTGTTCGGTTTTCAGTTGCAATTTCCTTACAATGTGGATTCTGTTTTGTTATGCCTATCTTTCTGGATGCCTAACCCCAGTCGATGGCAGACAAGAAAACCCCCTAACCATAGGAAGGGATTTCCAGGGCCATTGCTCCCTATGCCTCTGAGGGGGGCCAGGTTCTGGCTCATGGTCCCCGGTAGGCTGAACTCCATAGACCAAACCCTGGTCTAATGTTTCGCATATTAGCCTGATAGCTCCAGGGAGCCTCCGGGTCTCACCCAGAAAATGGCATTTCATTACATTCATCGTTGTTTGTTTAGCTCCTGTAATTTTTTTAATACAGAATTTTATTTTATTTTGTTATGGCTGGGTGTAAAATAGTTTAAAAATTAAGCCTTAATAAAAAATCAAATAAAGTAATGAGCTTTTTATCATTGTTCATACAATTTTTTTTTCAGACTTAAAGAGGTTATTCTGGATTATGCTGAACCTCGAAACACTGGTCAGAGGCGAGCCTTTGCTGTTGAAATGTGTGAATGTCCCGTAGGCTATCAAGGTCTTTCATGTGAAGATTGTGCTGTTGGTTACACGCGGAGTTTATCTGGCGTTCACCTTGGTACATGCACACCTTGTGAATGCAATGGTAATTCAGAAGAGTGTGATCCAGATTCTGGAAGATGTTTTGTAAGTTGTAATTTTTTAGTAATTTATTTGCTTATAGGTTAAATGAAGGCATAAAGCGCTGGCAATGATGCAAAAATATAAATAACGATTTGGGAAGAGACCTACAGTAATTCCAAATAATATTTCACCGGTAAGAGTAAAACACCATCCTGAAATAAGTCTAAATCCAACTTTATTAAGGTGTATGGTATTTGAAGTTTTAATATGATCTAACAGTTATTCAATTTTCTTAAGAATTCCTGAGCAGCATGCTGTGCATATAATTTCTGGAAGTGTTTATTTTCATGAATTGTGTAGAGGTTGTGTTGGGGCTGGATGTAGATAATTATAGTTAATTTACAGTAATTAACCCTTTTCTGTGGGGGGGGAGCCCCTTCGGCTCCCTGGAGCTATCGGGGTAATGTGTAATATATTAGACTGGGGCATTAGTCTATAGAGTTTGACCTACCGGGCACCACGAGCCAGAACCTAGCCCCTTCAGAGAAGTTTCAGGTAGCAATGGCCCTGGAAACCCCCCCCCCCCCTGTGGTTGTGGATTTTCCTTATCTACCATTGACCGGGGTTAGGCACCCAGAAAGATAGGCATAACAAAACAAACCCCACATGGTAAGAAAATTAGAACTAAAAACCAAAAAAAGAGAAGCAGAACTCCCTCCAATTTAAAGTAAACAAGCAAACGTCACACTGCACTGCCTCATCGCTCGTCCCCGCAGCCCTTTCCACCCCGAGTTGATTACCCAGCACTCCAGTTCATTCGCTAATGTGGTCCGGGGTGGACATCTTTTCTGGCCTCGATTTCCAAGGTGGTGTTTTGCCTTTGTGACGACCTCTGAAGTGTTGCTGTGTGTGTTGGCCAGGTGTTCCTCATCAGTGGCGGGGCTGCATGAGCTTAGCAGCATCCTTCCCTAGGTGCCCTGTAGGTACTGCCCTTGCGTGTTAGGGTTCCTTTCCATGGTGTGTTCAGGAAACCATTTTCGTAGGGGATTTTGCTCCTTGGCATTTACTCCACCCGTGGGGCTAGCTGGGATTTTGTGACCCTTGTTTGGGCTTAGGTAGGGAGTGGTATCCTGCTTGTTGGAGCATCAAGGTGTTGTGCAGCCTGCCTACCTATGCGGCTGCTAGTTCCTGTTTCCTCTGGGGACATTATACTTTTTTTTTCCTTCTTCCTGATGGGGTTTGCCTGGTGTTGCTATCGTCCACTTGTATTATTTTGGTGGCCCTCTGCTAGGCCCTCATGATTGTACACGTTGCAGGAATTTCAATGTTTTGATCTCCCTCCCTTGTTAGCTTTGGGTCTTTAACCAGTTAGCAACACCTTTCCCAGGTTTCCCATAAATCACCTGCCCCGCTTTAGTTACAGTGACCGGGACTTGGGGCCGTTAGTCGCTTCGACTTTGGTTCAGTCTGTACCCCTGGTCCTTTCCCTGTTGTTCACCCTGCTTCCGGTTCCCAAACATCTGAGGATTTCGGGTTTAGTTGGTAATGAGGCTCGGGCTGCTTTGGGGACTGCCCCATTCAGGATGGGGACAGGCATTCGAGCCGGTTTCTCCTACCAAGGTTTCTGGGTCCTCCAGCAGGTCTCCTTTTCATCCTTTTCCCAGGACTCTGTCTTTTCTTCAGGGGTAGAGGATATGGAGGACAGCTCTGCCCTGGGTCCCAACTTGGCAGGATCCCGGGGCTGGAGAGGAATTGACCTGAGGGCCTTAGTTCCCTTTGACCCTGCATGGGTGTTGGTGCCCTCTTTGGGGTCTTGTTGTTTCAGGGGAGGGGGTTTTCTTACCCCACTTCCCTGTATGAGTATGATTTGGGGTCGGCTCCTTCATTCCGGATGTTTTCTGCCACTTCCTTAGGGAGGTTCAGGAGGCTCTTGCTACATTCCTGCAGTGAGACCCAGATTCCACCTCCGTCATGAATCCATTCTCATTTGAGTTCAGTTCTTCTTTCCCATATTGGGTGTGTTTGGAGGTTCCGGCGTCTTCCTGGCTGGCAGACTACCCATTGTTTTTGTTGAGGGCGTAACATGGCTTCTGTTGTACTAGCACGCTTGAGTGGCGAGAAATTTCTACCATTCTGCAGGCTTACCTCTGAGGGTAAGTTTGAGCACCTTAACACTTTCGCGTTTTGAGCAAGACAGCGCCATGCCACCCCAAGATGCGCCTGGCATTCCACGGGAGCACGCGGTAATACTGAAAAGTGTATACGCTTTTCAACTTTGTCATCTGAATTCTCGTCCTAGGTTTTTCAATTTAGTATCAGTGTGTTCGCAATAGAATTCTCTACAGGACTAACGGCATATAAAGTCCAAAAGCCCGGCGTACCATCCACAACAAACAGAGAAAGTGAAAGCGTGTTACCTGGGAGCGCGCAAGAGCAATAAAATGTGTTCACTCTTCACTTTGGTCACCTCACTTCTCGTCCTAGGTCTTTCATTTTGGCATCAATGTGTTTGCAATAGAATTCCCTACATGTGTATATGCATATAATGTAAAAAAAAATGTGGCGTGCTCAACCTGCCGACAAGATGAAAGCAGGCCGTGGTTACCCACAAGAGAGCGCTGCGCCACCCCAAGGTGTGCCTGGCATTCCATTAGAGAGCACGGTAATACTGAAAAATGTATACTCTTTTCAACTTTATCTCGGTTCTCATCCTAGGTTTTTCAATTTGATATCAATGTGTTTGCAATAGAATTCTCTATAGGATTAAATGCAAATGAAGTCCAAAAACCCGGCATACCACTCGCACAAAACAGAGTTCCTACCCTTTTGGCATCATTGGTTGTTGAGGATTTGTGCCCGTGGCATTTGGCTTTGGTCTTGTGCTTCTTTCCCTTCTCGAGCAGTCTAAGGCCTGGCTTGAGGAAGATATGGAGGTATTGAGTACTGTGTCTTCGTCTGTTGTGCTTACCTTGGCGTCTCGGGCATCAGCCACACTGTTGAAGCCGTGCCGCCAGACTGTGCTCGCTCTCTCCTTGGAATCTGCTTGGGCTCTGGCTCTTAGGTTTTTGTCGCCGTTTTGTTTGCAGAGTCTGCAGTAACCCAGTTTCTGCAGGTGGCTTCATCTAGTTGTCCTATGTCAGACTTGTTGGTTCTCCGGGGCGGCTGTTCACGTCCTTCTTGGAAGGGTCATGCCAGGGCTCTGGGTTCTGCTGGTCAAGGTGGGCCATTGGTGCCAGCTTCTGAGTGAATGTTGACTTTGGAACCTTCGTCGTCTGGTCAGTGTGATGATCGCTCCGTTTGTCAGCCGGCTTTTCATAAGGGCCATCGGCCCTTGCGCGGTTCGCCCGGTTGATGGGGTGATGGGGGCAAGGCTTGCTCTGTTTGCTCACGCTTGGTCCCACGATTTGTGGGCATTTTTGGACGTGTCATTCGGCCTGTGGTGGTGGTGTTTGGCAGCTCATCCTCCTTCGGGGATTTCGGGGTTGGCGGGGCAGGCTTCTTCTCCTGTACTCCGTCAGGTCACCTCGGAGTGAGTGCGCTTGGCTGTGGTTGAAACGACCCCCGTCCCTCAGGTGGGTTTTCTCGCCTGTTTTCCAGTGCTGAAACATGACTGTGCAGATCTGCGGTTCATTCTGGACTGGTCCTGTCTGAACACCTGGATTCCTTGCCCCTTCTTTTGGATGACCACTCTTTCTCATGTCTGGCTTCTTTTGGAGCTGGGTGCTTAGATGGTGTTCCTGGACCTCATGGATGTGTACTGGCACGTCCCTGTTCATCCTGGGTTCAGGGACTAGCTAGCTTTCATGGTGGGGTGTCTGGCTTACCACTTTCGTTGCCTTCCTTTTGGCTTGAATCTGGCACCTCTCATATCAATGCGTCTTACCCGTGTTGTGGTGACCTGTCCGAGTCTGCTAGGAGTTCGGGTCCTGGCCTATCTCAACAACTGGCTAGTGTGGGCTCCCAGTCGGTCCACTTGTCTGCTCGCCAGGTATATGGTTCTCTCCCAGCTCGCTGGGTTCAGGTTACTGTAGGACATCTCGTCTGCTTCTGTCCCAGGTTCGGACCTGGCTAGGTCTTGTTTGGTATTCTAGGAATGCTTCCGTATGTCTCGCTTTGGAGGCATTGCTGAGGCTGTTTCTGGGAGGTCCCGGGTCATTCGCCAGTTGCTTGAGCAGTTGTGTGGGAGTTTGAACTTCGCCGTGTTGGTCTTTCCGCTGGGTCGGGTTTGGCTTTGGCAGCTGTTCTGGTTCCTTCAGGGAACCAGAAGGAACCACCTTCACACTCTGGGGGCCTTATGACAGTTTGCTGCGTCGCTGGCTTCCTCTTCAGGGTTTTCCGGGTTAAGTGCCTTGATGCCTAGCTGTGTCCTTTGCTCGATGTGTTCTCGGACCCGTCGTCTTTCGACGGTGGGGGGGCGTCTTCAATGGCCCCCCCCCCCTCCCGAAGACTTTTGACTTTGTGACCGGTGCTCACCAGGCCGGCCAGGGGTGGTGGGGTCAGTCCTTCCATCAGGCTCACAGCACAGTGCAGGAGTTTGCAGCAGTTTGGCTGGTGCTTCGAAGGGTTCGGGTCACTCAGGGTTCGATCATCCAGCTCTGTTCAGACTGCTCTCTGGTGGTTCATTGCCTGAACCGCTGGGGTTCTCTTCAGTTCATGTCTCTTTGCGGCTGGTCGCTTCGAATGGCTTGTCTGCTTGCTTCTCAGGGTGTGGCTCTCCATGCGGTTCATATCCGGGGAGTGGAATGGTGGAATTACCTGTACCTGTACCGGGAGGGTTCTTAAGTCTACCAGCCTGCGATCTATCCTTGCGCCCGTGCCCTTCGGACGTTTGCAGCTTTCGCTGCCATGTTTGGTGACGTCTTGGGCTCATTTCGGGCGCGGGGATTTGGGGGTCACCAAGTACCTCCAAAGTGGATACGGATAAGCACCTCCAAAGGATACCTGATCAACCAGGCTGTGACTCATACGTCAGGCTGCGAGCAGCCGCGTCCAACAGCCTGGTTGATCAGTCCGGCAACCAGGAGGCCTGGTTGACGACCGGGCCGCGGGGACGCTAAGCCCCGGAAGCACCTCAAGGTAACTTCAAGGTAAGGTAGAAATGTAACAAAAAATTAGAAACAACATAGGTACTTATCTGGAAAAACGTAGCACAGAAAATTATTTAATTGCTTGAAATAAATTAGGGACATGGAGGTAGCAAGCCAAATGATTGCTGTCTGATTGTAAACACACTAGCCAGACATGTTGCACCTGACCTAGACTGGGTGGCATCCCACGGCATCTGTGACTAGCCTGTCAACCCCCTCATTCTTTCACCTGGTCGTGCATGGTATGCCTATACATGCCTTGGTCCATCCTACTGCTTTACACTTAAGTGGTTTTTGCTATCCTTGGATTTTTTTTTTTCGAGCCTCTCTGAATTTGTCAGCTCAATGAATGTTGTTTTTCCTGCTCCTTCATGGTGCAGTGATGGACTTCTGTATGGCACATCATGCCTCCAGGCAGGCTGTTTTGAATTTTAGAGGAACCTAAGTTAACGAATTTAAATCATTACGGCATTGAGCTCGTCATGTGAAATGCTCATCTTGCAAAACAAATTTCCCCGTTTAAAATAATGAAAATGCAATTAATCTGTTCCACCCCCGAAAAACATCAATATGAAATTTTATAATGTAATTATAATACGCGTAATATGGTTCTCGCTGGTTCCCGCGAGAACCAGTGGGAATGCTAAGAAGCACTACATAGTTTTCTCGTTATCCGAGCGGGAGCTCGTCAATCGAGACAACGAGCGAGCCACTCGCAAAATATTTACCTGAAATACTTGTAGATGTGGCTGCTCATCGCCCGAGGTTCCTCTGTATCTCCAAAAGTCCATATGGTAGCTTTCCCTTTTCCTGGCCTCCCTTGGGATTATACTTAAGAGTTGGCTGTCTCACTACATCATCATCCACATTTTGTTGACCAAAGGGGTGGTCACTGTCACCACCTCCCTATCATTAGTGTCTAGTCTCTTTCCCTGGTCCAAAATTTTTATTTAATACCTTGTCCTTGATTCACTTTCAGGTATCAAGCTAATCCTAGCTCATTTCCAGGAATCTACAGTTTTGGAATTGGCTGAAGTTTCGAGTGAACACCTCACTTGCCCCTTCTGAACTGTCATTTAAGCTCTACTTGGCATCCAGTCTTCACCAGATTGACCTGCGGAGCTCTCTTCAAGCTCTGGCTATGAGGGCTCTTGGTTCTAGTTCTTTCATCAACTGGTTAACTTGGATCCAAGTCACCATGCATATCTGCTTGTCAGAGATCAGGTTCTGCAGGGTCTGGCCCTGTTTTGTTTCATTGCCACTTGGAGAAGTCCCAGCTTTCTTTACTCTTGTGGCCACTCCTTGCCTCTCAATGATTGTTTGGTGGGGCTCATTTGTCAGTTCTGGTTTAGCCTATTTGCCATTAAATCCAGGTGTATTATTTTCCCAGAATTTGTCTGGGTTAGCAGTTCCCTTTGGATATGTTACTGGGTACTGTATGATCTATGTGGTTTAGGGGTCATTCTCAGCAGGAAGTCTCTTAGAGTTTAGCATTGGGTATGTGCATTTGTAGGGTTGGTGCCTTAGGTTTTGGTGAGCTACTGAGGTGCAGTACAGATAGTTGCATTTCATTTTACTAGATGCTCTATTTTTTAAATAAAAAAGAAGTACAGTATGTGGTTGCAGGTTAACATTATTACTTCTATGTGTGTAATATAATAAATACTTGTGAATTTCCAGAATTGCAAAGACAATACGGCTGGAGATTACTGTGAAAATTGTGTCGAAGGCTTCGTCAAATCAGGTGGCCGTTGTCATCGTCAAGATGGTGGTGACTGCAACTGTGATTCACGTGGTACCGTTTCATGTGATAAAGGCATTTGCCAGTGCAAGGTATGAAAATTTCTTAAATTGATTTATTTATACTTAAAGTATCAATATGGTATTATGTAATAATTCTGTGGATTAACCACTGCACTGCTCTTCAGTCCAAAAAAATTTTTTCTTCTTATATTGTTAAAATGCAGTCTTTGATCATGGGAAACTAAAAAAAAAAATGTATGTGACATACTTTAGCCGTGATGGAGCTGGGAAGTTGAGCAAATTATGGGCGCTGAACGATAGAGCGCTCAAGGTCACTCGGCCCCACTACCCCGTGGGGCAGCAGTTGCCGCGAATATAATGTTTCACAATTATTTTGATGTTTCTCATTCGTTTCTTCTCTGTTTTTTTGCTGTAATATTATTCAAAGCGTGCAATATGTGGAATTTATATACTTCAACGTGTGGAATATTACTATGCTCAAAATTATGGGGTTTATATATGTCACATGGATATTATATTCTACGATCAATCAAACAGTGTTTTTGCTGTTATTACACTATATACACACATTGTATATATCTATCTACATATGTGCTCACCATAAGGAACCACTAAGTTGGTTTAGTGAGCCCAAAACAACAAGAGTGGCTGCGACACAGCAGCCAGCAGACTGCTAGCTGACTCTCTCCCTCCTTCAAAACCCATGCACCAAAATTCCGCCTCCCACCGTACAGTTGTTGTTTTTATTACACTATTTATACACATCTTATATATAAGTATCTACATGTTTTATTCACCATAACTATACAACTAAGCTGGTATGCTGTCCAAACAGCATAGTGGCCACTGCATGACAAGTCACACAGCAGGTAGCAGACCACAGCCTCACCCACTTCTTCACCAAAATGGTGCCTTCCAACAAACTCCTTTTGTTGTTATTACACTCTGTACACACATCATATATCTGTATAAGTATTTATATTTGTGTTCACCATAGTGAACCACTAAGCTGGTATGGTGATTCCAGACAATAACATGTTGCCACACACCAGCCAGCAGACGAAGCTATCACCCTCCCTCCCTCACCAACAATAGTCCTCCTCCTATATCGTTAATTCTCACCACAATCCTGCTATTATCAGAATCCTGATCACTAAATCATGTAAATGAATAATTTTCCACATGTTTATTTTGTAAAGGAATCTGAGAAGGCATTTGAAATTTTTTAGATGGATGTTATAATGGCAGTGTGCTGTGGCTAGCACTGTGAACATCTTGAACAGCATCTATTCACTGATATCTGAACATTGTACACAGTCTTTATCACAGTCAGGCTCTTCTATAATACTATCATGGCTAAATAATACCAGATATACATTATATATATATATATATATATATATATATATATATATATATATATATATATATATATATATATATATATATATATATATATATATATATATATATATATATATATATATATATTAGTATATTTTGGTAGCAGTCTTTCCTGTAGACATATATTATTAAATATGACCGAAAAAGTAAGATTAATAATTCTAACACGAATTTTCTCAATCTTTCGTACATTACGCTTCACTGTTGGTGGTAAATCAAAAATCACTTCTCCAAAATTCATTTTTATTTCTAGTCTGACGCGACACGGGCGCGTTTCGTAAAACTTATTACATTTTCAAAGACTTCACAAATACACAACTGATTAGAACTTACGTATCCCTGATTTTATATCTACATTTGAGTGAGGTAGGAGGGGTGATGTGGCATTAACACAAGACAGAACAAGAGGGGATCTTAATAGGGTATTAAAAGTATCAACACAAGACAGAACAGAAGTGTTTGTAGAAAGCCTATTGGTCCATATTTCTTGATGCTTCTATATTGGAGCGGAGTCTTGAGGTGGGTAGAATATAGTTGTGTACATATAACACAACTATATTCTACCCACCTCAAGACTCTGCTCCAATATAGAAGCATCAAGAAATATGGACCAATAGGCTTTCTACAAACACTTCTGTTCTGTCTTGTGTTGATACTTTTAATACCCTATTAATATCCCCTCTTGTTCTGTCTTGTGTTAATGCCACATCACCCCTCCTACCTCACTCAAATGTAGATATAAAATCAGGGATACGTAAGTTCTAATCAGTTGTGTATTTGTGAAGTCTTTGAAAATGTAATAAGTTTTACGAAACGCGCCCGTGTCGCGTCAGACTAGAAATAAAAATGAATTTTGGAGAAGTGATTTTTTATTTACCTCCAACAGTGAAGCGTAATGTACGAAAGATTGAGAAAATTCGTGTTAGAATTATTAATCTTACTTTTTCGGTCATATTTAATATATATATATATATATATATATATATATATATATATATATATATATATATATATATATATATATATATATATTTATTTATATTTATATTTATTCATATTTATATTTATTCATATTTATATTTATATTTGGACTTTTTAGGCGATGCTGTTAGCTCATGCTGCATGCGCCAGCCTTGATTACTCACTCAGTACTGAGGCCTTCACACCTGGGAATGTTGCCCACGATTTAGAAAAAAAATGGAGTCTGTTTAGGAGAGCCCTGAGAAAGCTGATGTGAACCCTGTGTAGCCGCAGGAGTTTTGGATGATAGGCTATACCTATGAGATCCCCGAGGCACTTTGTGCACCACCCGTCGAGAGCCTCAAGGCACGCTGCTCAGTGCAGTGGTTAATGGTAAATCTCATAACATGTTAATGGCAATAAAGAATTATGATGACATTAATTTTTTTGGACTAAGAGTTACATAACTCCATCCACCCTGGTTACAAAGAAAGGTCAGAGTTGCCAATGACCAACAGAATCGCCCAACTCTTCCAAGTAGCCAGGGGAGTCCAGAATGCACTTGCAATGCAACTAGGATTGGCAAAAATGGCAAAACAGGCTCTAGTACCCAGCTGCACACACCTTCACCCTAAGAGCAATGTGTATAGATGACCAGGAATTACGAAGCATAAACCCACAGCTATGCATCACAGGCATCGAGTTAAAATCACAGACTTGTTAAACACACACACGAAGCAAATATATTCTACAAATATATTCCCAGATAAGCTCCAGGGAGCCTCCGGGGCTCACCCAGAAAATAGCGTTTCATTACATTCAACGCTGTTATTTTTAAATACTTTGTATGCCTGTAATAGATATTGTCGGCTGGATGTGACTTTCCTACAGTGCATTCTTAGCCATGATCACTGCTGCATACTATTCTGAATTTTGTCCTGACTAATTATTCATTAATCCTATCTGTGGCTTTGCAGATTCTTTCTTTTCCATGTTTTTTACTTTTTGCTTTTGTGAAATACTGTTATTCTAAACAAAATTAATTGTAGGCAAAATTATTTCCTATTTTTGTTAAATGAACATAGAAGGTTAATGTATAATATTTCTGTAATATTTAACACTTAAAATAAATATTTTAAAATTTAAAACAGTGTATGGAAAATGAATTTGAGTAGGTGGCCATTGCTGCTCTTGTTTTAATAAAGATGTTCTTTGTTTTTTATAGAATACTGTATGGGGGGACAGCTGTGATGCATGTCGGCCCGGATTCTACCACCTTTCTAGTAGAAACCAATATGGATGCCTACAATGTTGGTGCAGCGGTGTCGGCTCCCAGTGTTTCTCATCAAATTACTATCGCACACAGTTGCCCATGCAACTGCTTACTGACCACGGATTCACATTTTCCAATCGGTAAAGACTATAATGTTAGCACATGATTTGATCTGTGTATAAATGAAACTATTACCAGTTACTGGATGTCTTTGGTTTCATTACTAAATTGTTTGGGATCAATAGTGTTTTTCCTTGGAGGAGCCCCCTGTGGCTCCCTGGAGCTTATCCAGGCTGATATGGATATATTAAACTTTGGCATCAATCAGTGTCAATGGAGTTCATAGGCCTACCGGGGACCCTGGCTACCCACACCCCAGTTCTTGGCTGGTGTGTTTGAGGCTGGTTGTGTCTCCAGCTCCTGTTTCTTGTTCCCAGTGCTGTGCCTTGTGTTCTAGTGCTGTCTTCAGGATTGTGCGTGAACTGGGAATAATCTTCACAGGTTCTCGGGCTGCATGCGCTTAGGGGTTCTCTTCCCTGCAAGTACCGCCCTTGGGGCTTGGGGTTATCTTCCACAAGTCACCTTGGGGTCTACCTCTGTTTGTCTTTTGCTGCTCAGGGCTTTTCACCACCCTGAGTTTGCTGGGGGTTTTCATCCTCCCTTGCTTACCTTAGGGTAAGGGGGTAGTTTGCACTGGTAGGGTGTGGAGTACTTCACAGCCAGTTATCACCTATTATAGTGGCTGGCTCTGTTCCGCCTGGGTATGTAGTCCTCTTGCGGGGTTTTTCTTTTGTTTTTGTTTCCTGCCTGGTGGTGGGGGGATCTGCCTTTGGTTCATTGCCCTCTATCTGTCCTAAAGTTTATTATATCTGTTTCTGGGTGGTACCCCCTGCTAGGCCCTCGTGATTGGACATATTCCGGGGGGTTCAGCTTTAAGCAGTTTGATTGGTAGACTTGGGCGCCAGTTCGCAATACCCTGCTTGGGCTTACTCTTAATGACACCAGTCTAAAGCTCTTGGGAAACCCTGCGGGGGTGCAAGGGGGTCCAATGGATGCGACCTCTGGGTCCTCTCTCGCTTTGTGCGAGTTTGAGGGTTGATCTGTCCCCTTGTCTTTGGGCGACACTCATTGTTTTTGCCTCCATCATGCTGCCTGTTTGATCGGTGACACATTCGACCAAGTGCCCTGCGAGAATTGTTGCTTGTTTGTGATTCAATTCACCCAGTCCACTGATAACTTTATGTGCAGGTGGTGCAGGTGGCTCAGGCGTTTCATGCAAGATTTAGGTTGCTGCTACGCGCTAGTTTGATTGCCACCCCAGAAGGCTGCCCCGTTTTGCTTATAGGGACCCGTACTTGGGAGTGTTCGTCGCTTCGACCTTGGTTCAATCTGCACCCCTTTGTTTCTTCCCTGCTGTGGTTCATTCTGGTCCCCCCTCCTCCCCTGCTTCTGGCTCCAAAGCATCTGAGGGCTTCGGGGTCGGGGCGGGGTTTAGAAGGTTCTGAGACTTGGGCAGTTTCGGGGGTTGTCCATTCCAGGGGGATGACAGAGGCATTCGAGTCGGTTCCTCCAACTGTGGCGATGGGGTCTGATCAGTGGGCCCCCGTCCTTCCTGCCTTTCCAACTGCCCCTGTTTTTTCTTGTGATGCCGGGGCTTTGGAGGACGATTCGGCCCCGGGTCCTAGTGTGGAGGTTCCCAGGGTTGGGGAGGAGCTGACTTGGGAGGCCTTGAGCCCCATTGGACCCTGCCTGGGTTTTCTTACCCCCTTCGAGCGGGACTTGCTGTTAAAAGGAGTTGGGTTTTCTTTTTACCCCCTCTGCGTACGAGTTGGATTTGGTGTCGACTCCTCCCTGGGTTCGGTTCCGTGTCCCTTCGGGTCCGTTGGTTTCGTCCTTCTGGAGGTTTTTGGCTTCCCGCGTCTCGCCTACTCAGGTGCAGGCAGCCATTGCGGCTTGCCTCCTGCGCGACCTGGATTATGCTTCTATAATGGATCCGTCTTCTTTCAGGTTTGGGTCTTCGTCTCCATACTGGGTTTGTTATGAGGTTTCGGAGACGCCCTGGCTAGCGAACTGCCCTGTGTTGTCATTGCTCCTTGTGCCTGTTTGAGGGGGGCCAGGTTCTAGCTCGTGGTCTCCGGTAGGCCTAAGAACTTCGTTCACACTGACTGATGTCGAAGTAACTGCCCTGTGTTGTCATTGCTCCTTGTGCCTGTTTGAGGGGGGCCAGGTTCTAGCTCGTGGTCTCCGGTAGGCCTAAGAACTTCGTTCACACTGACTGATGTCGAAGTCTAATATATCCATATCAGCCTGGATAAGCTTCGGGAAGCCTCCGGGTCTCACCCAGAAAATGGCGTCCAGACCAAGTGGTTGGGCATGCTGGCTTAGGAGATGAAGTATTCCATAATGGTTTACAATTACACCACGGCTAGTCTGTAATAATTTTCCTGTTAAATTAGTTGGTAAAAATTTTAATGCCTTAGTTACGATCTGTTCATGGACAACTTATTAAAATTCTTCTCTGGGGTTCCATTTGATTTAAGGTATTCTAACCTTTCATGTTTTAATATAAAATAAATTTCACAGTGAAGTACTTTAACAATAAAATATTAAAAGTTAAGTATGTTACAGGTTATTGTAGGTGTTCATAATATGAAATTCACAAGCTGAGCTCATTCTCTCTCTCTCTCTTCCTAACAGGCTGCAAACAAATGTTATTAGAGATGGATTTAGCATCAGTGTAGCAAATAATGAAATAACCTTCAGTGATTTTGCTAATCTTCATGATGGTGCCACTTATTATTGGTCCTTACCACAGGTAAATTTTGGTTGTATCTCAAAGTTCTGGCAAATCTAATTAACAGTTGTAATATTGTTCAGATATTATATTACATGAAGAGTGTGAAATACAAAGCATATTTTATAAACAATTTTGCGTGCATTCTCCCAGATGTTTACAGGAAACCGCCTTGCTTCTTACGGTGGTAATTTGACCATAACTCAGCGATACCAGGCACAGTCTGGTGGCAATACCTATGCTGATGCGGACATCATAATAAGAAGTTCTGGTGGACGAGAATTTATTTGGATGATCCCACGACCTCTTCAACCGAATATTGAACAAACATATGTTGTTGCTCTTACTGAAGATAGCTTCACCATGAATCAACAGCCTGCATCTAGGTATAGATAAAATCTTTTTTGTCTGGGTATTAATGAGTGTTTAATAAGATTGATTTTATGCCAGCAATATAATTTGGTAATGTATTCACCTCTCACACCAGTTTATTTTCCTTACATGTAAATCCTTTTACTATAATAAAGGATTTAGTAGGATTTTGTTTATTGATGGTTTGGAAGATTAAAGGTAAATAGTGTAACATTATGCGCTATCTTGATGATCATACCATGGGGCCTACAGGACATGATATAAACAGGAAACTGAAATGATGTTAAAAAATGTTAAGGTATAGGTATGTAATAGTAAGTAGATTTCATGCAAAATGTCACACGCAATTGCCATGCTCTTCAAGAAGACCAGCACAAAATAAGCATATGGAGCAACACTTGACAAATGGAATTTAATGTGAATAAATGAACATTATGAAATATGGAATAGGAGAAAACAGGCCACACACTCATCCTATAAATTATGTGAAAAAGCTTTAACCACTGGACTGCACCAACCGAGAAAACTTGGTCGGTAGGAAAATGAGCCAACCTAGAAAAATCTTTTTTATTTTTTCATACCCATTCAAAATGTGTGTGCGGTAGGTTGTGTACGAAATGGACTTATAGGACCTCCAGTGAGAGGCAGCCATCTTGGAAAAAATTCCCAAAAAGCCCTAGGGCTGCTGGTTGGGTGGCGCACCTGCCTCTAGCTCCCAAACACCTGTCTGACACGATGTTGAAAGATCGCGCTCTGTCGATGAAATTCACACTTTGTTGTTTTAAGAACATAAGGGTCATAATATTGGTGAAGTAGGCGCAATAAGGACCTAACACAAAGGTCGGATGCAAGTGATACAGCACCTATGAGGACTATACAGCGAGCGTATCCAGTTGTAGCTCTGAGCTCCACCCTTGCCATCTCCTATTTGTTATAGATGATGCATAGAAGAATCGTTTTCTGTGTTCAGTGATGATGAATCTGATACAAGTAGCATAGATGAACAGTGTTAGCGGCTTCCATGGTGGAGTTTTCCATTGATTTCAGGAATAGCTGAATCTCTTGCAGAATGCCTTAATCTTTTCCAAATTGACTGACACTCTTCGAGGTTGTGGCTAAATCTCTTCCAGTGTGAGACCTTACAAAACGATCTTTTCAAGACTATCTTACAAAATGATCTTTTCCTATAATCTTTTCAAGACTACCTTATGCTTTACAAGCTTGGCTACATACCACCTACAAGTACTGAAGCCTAGGGTGTATGTGAGTGCATTATTTGCAAGCACACAGAACAAGGAAACAGGAAGCTAAAATCTATCTGTACCTTGTGCAACGAGAGTGAAATCGTGCTGTGTACCATGGACTACTTTGTTGATTATTACTCACTTCTGAAGTACTGAGTGTGTAATACAGTGTGTTACTGTGTAAATAGTGTGTGAAACTGTAAAACAAGTATCAAGTATCACTTGATAGTGATACTTGTATTATCGCTTGTTGAGCTATCACTTTACTAGAGATGTTGAGCTAGAGAAAACTCTAAGGTTTTCTTGACCTCATAATGTGACATTGTACATTGGCCATCATAAAATATCTTGACTCTAGGTGATGGCAGCTATTAAGGAACACCCTGAATAAACTGGAAAAAGACATGCAACCAGATGGCTTTCGGAACTTAAAAAGGAGCTACGAAGGGATGCTAGAAGTGTTAAATACACCAAAGCTAGAAGATAGAAAAAAAAGGTGATATGATCACTATTTGCAAATTAGTAACAAGAATCAACAAAATTGACAAAGAAGAATTCTTTGTCAATTTTGTCAATGAAAACTGCAACTTCAAGAACAAGAGGTTATAGACTCAAACCAAGAAAAGAAAGGTGCCAATAAAGCATTAGAAAATTTACTTTTGCAAGCAGAGTGGTAGATGGTTGGAACAAGTTAAGTGATTAGTAGTTTTAAAGCTTCATATGAGAGTCTTGGGAAGACAAGACATCACGAGCATAGCTCTCATCCTGTAATTACACACTTGGGTGGTTACCCGACTTGACTGGGATCCAACCTAAATTCATGTTCTAGCTGCCCTGTGCACTTGTGTTGCAAGTCATGCACATTGATTGCCTTCATCTAAGGTGTGCAAAACAAATGCACACTTCTCGCACCCTAAAAGGGTGTGCTACAATCTGGTTTATCTACTTGCAAGCAACTTGAATTTTCTCTCCCATATCACTTGATAGTGTATCAAAAAATTAGTCTAATTTACATGGAAACTGGTTAAAAAATTACTTTAATTACACTAAACTGAGTGTTATATCACCCAGTCTATTGGATTACAAAATATTATGGATAGATGTTTTCTAGATTTAAGAAGAATCCATTTTGATGACATAATTGAATGAATGATTGGCAATTAGTACGCATTTTAATTTAGCTTGAGATACAAGGCTGGTGGCCGGGGGTCGGTGGCTGGTGGTGAACGACCATTTCCTTTACCTGATATTTTGGAAGATTTGTCTATCGCGTAAATTGAATGGATAGAGCTTTTCTAGATTGAAGAATATATTGAGAATAAAATGTCACTTGCACACTTCTCGCTCCCTAAAAGGGTGTGCTACAATCTGGTTTATCTACTTGCAAGCAACTTGAATTTTCTCTCCCAACATTGCTTAGTTCATCATATTTGAGGTTGCACAAATCATTATAATAACTTTATATATTTAATACATTTTCTTAGTACTGTATTTATTTTTAAATATGACAAGTATTTATTGTCATGTTTATTATATGTATTATTGCTAAAGTAACCAAATAAACTCCTAATATATTAGTTGTAAGTAATAAATTATACTGCCAGGTATGCATCTCAATAGGAACTATGCTATAACGTTTCCTGCAAGACTGATTCAGTTTGTGCTTCAGTTTCCAGGAATGCATCCTTGTCATTAAATGAAGTATGCATATGTGTAATACACACACATATATTTATATTTTATTTATTGATCTTTGAATCATTCGAAGAAATCTAAGTAATCTCATCTGTTTAGGTCAGAATTTCTGAATGCTCTGTCGTTTGTGGATGCCATTCTTATTCGTGCTACTCTAAGTGATAAGATGAGTGCCACTTCCTTGAAAAATGTCATCATGGATACTGCAGTTCCTTCACGTACTGGTCAGCCGAGAGCACTAGAAATAGAACAGTGTCAGTGTCCTAATGAATATACTGGACTATCTTGTGAGGTAAATATTCTTGCACAGCTTTCTTCAACACTTTAATTTTTGACTTTGGTAGTATTTATTGATTGTGTACCACTTATCTGAAACCTGATGAATATTATTTAGCTCTAACATTCAACATTTTAATAAAAATTAATATTTATTAATAACATTATTTGCTGGCCTCTAAAAAGTAGCATGATTAAATTTCTTTTACAAGCAGATTGTCATTATCATTTATGAACATCTTATCCACTATTCCCTCTTAGCTAAACAAATTATTGCCACAAAAAAGACTTTACAACCTATGTATTACAAAAGACACCTATCACTCGGTCACATTTCTTAATGAGTATGATAAAAAATATTGATTAGGAAAATTTCCACAAGAAGCAACAAAGAGGTATTTCGCAATGCCAGCCAATATTACAAGAATAATTACATTAATCTGTGGTGGAAATAAATTTAAACAAAGAATAATATGAAGAGCAAATGGAAAAGTCTCGCATGACTTGAAAAAACGTGAACAGCAAAATAAGCAGGAGTAAAATTAATTCACAGAGTTGAAGATCCTAATATTATTGACTAGGGTAATATTGGACATTTCCTCACTATCATAAATTTTTATGAAAAAACTTTATAAGCTATTTTACTCTTACTTTGCTAATCATAATATACTAAGTTCCTGCCAGTTTGGCTTTAGACAAAAAAAAGTTGTAATGAATATGCATAATGAAAATCACAATAATGTCAGGAATCTGTCAATAAATACTGAGGCTGTCATTGGAAATGAAGCTGCACCCTTGATCACCTTCATAGTAGGCATCCTTCAATCTCGGGAGACTATGGAGTTGTGCTCTGGTTGTCAGTCTTGGTGCAGCGTCTGGTGTGACTGATGAGGCCAATCCAAGAATGGCAATCCATTCCACACCGAGCACAAACGAAGTCTGATTCTGGTCTGTCTTCTTGGCTACCGGCTTTCCTTCTGTCTTTTTGCCTCCAATTACTTGGCAAGTGACTCCTCGAACTAGGAGAGATCTTTCTGAGCAGATTGCCTCCAGGCTGATTGGTCTGCGGCCAGTGTGTTTCCCTTCACCTTAAGCACATAATAAATACCGTTTGCCTGATGTATTCGGCTCTTAACAAAAATTAATACCACTGAAGCTTCTTTGACTTTCAGAAGGCCTTCCAAACAATTATAATAACCTTTATCTGTACTACTATGGAATTTGCAGTCACCAGCTAAACTACATCTTTATCTTATCTTGGCAACATATATCGATACTGTAATTTGCTGTGAATGATACTTCATTTCCTACACTTTGGTACCTTAGTACCAAAGTGTAGGAGTACCGTAGGGCAAAGTCTGCCCTATGGTACTCCAATAAACTTTGGAGTCAGGGCAGTATACTTGCCCCTCTCCTCTTTCTCCTGTACTAGTAAAGTAAAGTAAATTTTATTCAGGAAAGTACATACATAGTTGATTTACAACCATAATGTTGGATTTATAGATAGAGCTAGTACATAAAATACCTAAAGCCACTAGTACGCATAGCGTTTCAGGCAAGGTGAACTGTACTGTACATCAACAATATACCAAATGCCTTCCAACACCTAAAGCTAATGCACTGTAACAGTGGCATAACTTTCATCTTATCGGTCACATACCCAAATGTTCTAAACCACAAAATAAGACCACCATATACTTCAACACCCACTTTTCACATCATATTAGCCATCACAGTTGCCCCAAGTGGATATAATTTATTGTTCAAATAATTGTTGTATTAAATATTTATTACAGTTTTAAGTATTTTGAACAGCAATGCAAGCCTGGCTATTACAAAGATCCTGCAACAACTCGCTGCACTCGCTGCCCTTGTAATGGTCGCGAAGAATCCTGTACCCCACTAGCAAATGGTAGTGTTAGGTGTGACTGCCTGCCAGGATATTATGGCCCCTTCTGTAGGGGATCAGGTATGAATATATTTTAATTGAATTGTTATTTTCATATTTATTAATGGTTGGTATGGGACAGCTGTTCAAAAGGTTCTTCAGTGATAAACAGATGACAATGGAGATCCAGACTTGTAAGATGTGTGTTTTCTTGAAGTTGGTAGCTAACAGCTTAAAATTGAGTAGGTTAAGAGTTGTAGTGGGAAGAGGCACATGCAGTTTAAGAAATAAATAGGTTAATGTGACACTCTTCATACAGTGATAACATAACTGGTACATAAGCAATGTTTCATTATTTTGATTACAGGGTATATAGGTATTTATGGGATACCAATATAAGACCTCATTCTTGTGCCTTTTCCTGGTTCATATATAGCATGATATAATGCAATTAATGAATAGATAACGCCTGGAGAATGTAGATAGTGCATGTTTGCCACTTGCATGACGTAGTTTATTAAATTACCTTAACAGATTAAAGTATCAAAATATAGAAAAATTTTTTTTTGCAATTTTAAGAACAGAATTTTTTATATATATACAGTATAATAAAAGTACAAAGATCATATAGTACTACAAAAATATAATCTCATAATAAAATATGTTTTGAGCTTGAGGATAGTAAGCAAATGGAAAACACTAACAAGTGAAGTGGTGGAGACAAACTCTATACACATACCCAACTAAAGGTTTAAAAACTAAATAAAACATAAACTTAAAGTTTTAAACTAAAACTTTAAATGAGCATATGACTCAAGCCAAAAGGGTTCCTGAATCATGGTTAATACTAGTTTCATGCTTGTAATTAGGACTAATGTAGAATTATGCAAAGTTATTTATTACATTGGCACAATATGGTTAGAAGACCTTATTATTTTCATGAAGTTGCCTTAAATTTATTGAAAGAATTTGTACATTCGTATATTTTAGCCAGATGAGTTTTTTTTTTTTTTTTTTTTTACAAACTTCTGACCATTGGATAGACTAACTGTCCCCACATTTTCTGTTATGTAATATTTTAGAATAGTGATATATTTTATTTGCATCAATAATAAGATGATAGTTTATGTTTGGTATATTCAGTTGAACTGTATTTATAAAACAAACGGCATTCAAACCCAAAAAGATTTTTCGGGAATTATTAACAGTTTTTTAGTTGGAAAATTTTAAATTAATTATATAATATGAAATAACTTGAATGGAGCATTTTAAGAATATTTTGTTTTACTCATCAGCTATGCAACATGATTGGCATTCTATTTTGAAATAATAATGGCATTATTGACAAATCACAATGCAATTTTTAATTAATAAAAAATCTATATTTTACTGTAATATTCTCCAAATAGAGTATAACTAAAATGTGGTAATCATAAAATGAAAATCTGCAATGACATTGATAATTTTGTAAGTTTAGATTGCAAAATACAGTATAATGCCTCTTAACCAGTTACATAAATCAACTGAGTATATGATATTTAAAGTGAAATCAGGACCATTTGCTACTGTAAATATATAGTGCAAGGTGGCAGTGTAGGGACAAAGTGCATGTTAGAGGGATGGTGATGGCTCAGCTGTTCTTTCTAGTAAATGATGCTCTTTATTGATCTACATTTGAATGTGGTCTAATTGCTCTTGGTGTCACTTAATGATTTTTGCAACAGCTAATATTTATAATTATATTTAGAATGTGTCACCGAAGATAATAGATGTCGGGAATTACTAATTTTTTATGACAAAATTAATATATAAGTTTTTTAAATGAAAATGTACTTTATAGAATATACATATTATACATACCAGAAAAATAAATATATAATTGTTGTGTGTAAAGATACATCATTTGCAGAACAAAAAATCTATATTTTATTATTGGACAGTGCGTGAAAATGCATTATTCGATTTCTTACCTTTGATAATCTTTATATGGTAAATCTTTTATGCTTGACCACATAATTACTAATGTGCCTGGTGAGTGCAACAGCTTGGAGCATTGATATATTATCTTTTCAAAAAATTTTCTTTTTATTTCTTTAAAGTTAAGGTTTTGGTACTTGAATTGATTTCTATAAATCCACCTCTTGATCCACATATTATACTTGTATATGAATTGTAACAATTGCTTGTATTATGTCGTATCCTGTAAATGTCTGTGCTCTTAGAAAAGTTATTACTTTGGGTTGAAATCCTTCATCTATTGACTTTTAAATGAGACTTTGAAACTACCATATTAGTAACATACAATATCCTTTCATTGATAATGATAGTAAAGTTTTACATGAAAATGCTTTGCAGTTTTCTTTAATGAAACTAATCATATTTTCTATATAAATTCAAATTGAATGGCGTCTTTTTCTGTGGGAGCCCCGAAGGCTCCCAGGAGCTTATCGAGCTAATGTATGTTATATTAAACCAGGATATTAGCTATGGAGTTCAGACCTACCAGGGACCATAGCCACAACCTGGCCCCTTCAGAGAGGTTTCCAGGGAGCAATGGGCCTCGAACCCCCCCCCCCCCTGTGGTTGGGTTTTTTCTTATCAGCCATCAACCGGGGTTAGCACCCAGAAAGGTAGGCATAGCAAAACAAACCCCCCACATGGTAAGAAACTAAAACAATAAACTGAACAGAGAGGTAGAAACTCCCAACAATATCAAGGAAACAAGCAAACATCACATTTTATTGCCGCGCGGCTTGTCCGCACAGCCCTTCCCTCCCCGAGAGGTGGAGGGGGGAGGGCCCTGACCTCACCGCACCGGCTGCCTAGCACTCCAGTTTATATGCTAATGTCAACCGGGACAGATGCTTCTCTGGCCTCAGTTTCCTAGGCGGTGTTTGCCTTCGTGGCGCGCTCTGCTGTGTTTTTGTGTTGGCAGTGGCCAGGTGTTCCTCATCAGTACCGGGGCTGCATGCGCTTAGGGGCTTCCTTCCCTATGTGCCCTATGAGTACTGCCCCTGCATGACAGGGTTATCTTCCCTGGGGCATTAGGGAACCATTCCCCTAGATGTTCTTGCTGCTCGGCATTTGTCTTGCCCTTGGGGCCAGCTGGGGCTTGGGGCCCTTGTTTGGCCTTGGGTAGGGACTGGTATTGTGCTGGTTAGGAAGTCAAGGTGTTGCGCGACCTGCCACCTATGCGGCAACCAGTTCCTGTTGCCTCTTGGGACGGTGTACTTTTGCAGGGTTTTTCTTGTTTTCTTTTAATTTGCCTGGTGAGGATCTGCCAGGTGTGGCTATAATACTACTGGTAGTGTTTGGGGGCCCTCTGCTAGGCCCCCATGATTGTACACGTCGCAGGGGTTTTCAGTGTTGCATCATCAGGGAGCCAGTCGGCTGAGCGGAAAGCACACTGGACTTGTGATCCTGTGGTCCCGGGTTCGATCCCGGGCACTGGCGAGAAACAATGGGCAGAGTTTCTTTCACCCTATGCCCCTGTTACCTAGCAGTAAAATAGGTACCTGGATGTTAGTCAGCTGTTACGGGCTGCTTCCTGGGGTGGAGGCCTGGTCGAGGACCGGGCCGCGGGGACACTAAAAAAGCCCCAAAATCATCTCAAGATAACATCAAGATACTCCTTGTTAGCTTTGGGTGTTTAACCGATTAGCAAAATCTTGCCCGGGCTTCCTGTAGCAGTCAGCCTACGGGCCCTGGAAAACCCTGTCAGGGCTCGGTGAACCACTGGATGTGTCTTCCGGGTTCCATCCCATCGTGTGTGGGTTCGTTGGTTGCTGTGCCCTTATCTCCAGGTGACAGTCGCTGCTTTTACCTCCGTCATGCTGCCTCTTGGGTCACTGACACCTTGACCCGGAGTCTTGCGAGTTACGTTTTCTGCTAGTTCTCCAGTACTCTCCTGATGTCCTTACTGATCAGAGTACAGGCGGCATCCGTGTTGCAAGCTTGGTTTAGGTTGCTGCAACGCGCTAGGTTGGTTCCCCATCCGGATGCCCCGGGCCCGCCCCATTTTGGTTAGGTGCTGTTCGCCCCTTTCCCTCCCTGTTCCCGGCTTCTGACCATCTGCGGGTTTCAGGGTTAGGGTGGGATTTTAGTTGGTGCTGTGACTCGGGCGGCTTTGGGGGCTGCCCTGTTCAGGTTGGGGACGGAGGTTTTCGAGCCAGTTCCTCCTGCCAAGGTTTCTGGGTCTTACCAGCGGCCTGGAGCCGGTCGGCCGAGAGGACAGCACACTGGACTTGTGATCCTGTGGTCCCGGGTTCGATCCCGGGCGCCGGCGAGAAACAATGGGCAGAGTTTCTTTCACCCTATGCCCCTGTTACCTAGCAGTAAAATAGGTACCTGGGTGTTAGTCAGCTGTTACGGGCTGCTTCCTGGGGTGGAGGCCTGGTCGAGGACCGGGCCGCAGGGACACTAAAGCCCCGAAATCATCTCAAGATAACCTCAAGATTAGGGCCCTTTCTATGCTGCCCTTCCCCTGGACTTTTCCTTTTCTTTAAGGGCAGAGGGCATGGAGGATGGCTCTGCCCCAGGGCCTCTGTTGCGGGTTCCCAAGACTGTGGGGAATGCCCGCTAGCAGTTCTGGGGCTGTTTGCCCCTGCCTAGGTTTTCTGCTTCTGGGCGGGATTTTTCGTCTCTCTTATCTGCTTACTTCCCACATTTGCTGGCATGTTTTCGGATCTATTATTGCGCTGATCATGGCTTCTTTGTTCTGGTAGCCATTTTATTTCAGATTACTTCCCTGCTTGGCCACCGGTGGTGCTGCGGTTTGTTTACCTGTGCCAGGGTGTGGGAGCTCACGTTATGGATGATTTTTTTCACCTCTTTCAGGGGTTTTACCCTCCTGTTGCCATTTCTTTGCTTTTCTGGAGTTTTATGCCTGTCTTCTGTTCATCTGGGAACACTTGGGTGTTGGTTTTTACACAAGTTTTTCCGTTTTCTGCCTGTTTTGGGTCTGGGCTCAGTGTCCCTGTCTATTTATGCTTGCTCCCACACCTTGTCCCTCAGTTTTCACTCTGTTTTGGCCTTTTCCCCCTGGGGGTTCTGTGTGGGTGCTGTGCTTTGCCCTTTTGTGGTGTATTTCCGCCGGCAAATGTGGTAGTTTGGGCTCCCCCGGGTTCGATTCTGGGTTCCTTTGGGTTCTTTGGTTTCATTCTGGAGGTTTCTTCCTCTTGTGCCCCCTTTGTGGGTTCAGGGGGCTTTGTTACTTCGTGTGTGACCCGGTTCTGCCTTCTGGGGTTCCGGGGTCTTCCTGGCTTGCAGGCTGATCTTTTTGGGTCTTGGCGCGTGTTGTGGTCGTGCCGGGGCCTTGGGTTTTTGTTGTCGAGGTGGGTTTTTTGGTGCTGTTTTTGAGCTCTTGGTGCCTTCTTCGTTCGGCAGGCATGGTGGTCTCTGCCCACCGGTCGGTGGCTTGTCCTTTTCTTTTCTTTCTCTATTTTAAATGTTTATTTTTAGTTTCCTGTGTATGTATGTTTTTATGCATTTTGTGTATGTATGTATGTATATGTGTATATATCGGTCTATATATGTGTATATATGTACATATATATCAGTTTTTTGTTTTAGTTTCTTACCATGTAGGGTTTGTTTTGTTTTACCTACCTTTCTGGGTGCCTAATCCCGGTCGATGGTCGATAAGGAAAACCCCAACCACAGAGGGGTTTTTCAGGGCCATTGCTCCCTGAAACCTCTCTGAAGGGGCCAGGTTGTGGCTCTGGTTCCTGGTAGATCTGAACTTTATAGCTAATGTCCCGGTCTAATATAACATACATTAGCCCGATAAGCTCCAGGGAGCCTCCAGGGCTCGCCCAGAAAATGACGTTTCATTAAATTCAACAGTTTTAACATGGAGGATTTGGTAATAAAGAGCAGAAAGTGCTTATAATGATTTAAAGAAATATCATGAGCGAAGTGAAATTTATATGTAGAAATGTCATACTCTAATTTTTTTATCTACTTCATGAAGAATTTGTCATCACTATTGAAGCATTATAAATGCATGACTAATATTCACATGAGAACTCTGGGACAAAGATACATGCATTTGTTACATCATTAGTAAGTGTATAATATAATGCTGTGGATTTTCATAATTTTCATAACTTTATTAAAGCTGCTGTAAAAGCATAAGTTTACATCAATATACTGTAATTTATTGAGAGTTCATAACAAAGAAATCTTCACATGCACATATACACACTGTGCCTCATAACCTCATAACCGTTATGAGGAAAGGCTGCTGGAAATGCACCTTACGACACTGGAAGACAGAAGAGTAAGGGGGGACATGATCACAACCTACAAAATCCTCAGGGGAATCGACCGGGTAAACAAGGATGAACTATTCAACACTGGTGGGACGCGAACAAGGGGACACAGGTGGAAGCTGAGTACCCAAATGAGCCACAGAGACGTTAGAAAGAACTTTTTCAGTGTCAGAGTAGTTAGTAAATGGAATGCACTAGGAAGTGATGTGGTGGAGGCTGACTCCATACACAGTTTCAAATGTAGATATGATAGAGCCCAGTAGGCTCAGGAATCTGTACACCAGTTGATTGACGGTTGAGAGGTGGGACCAAAGAGCCAGAGCTCAACCCCCGCAAGCACAATTAGGTGAGTACAATTAGGCGAGTACACTTTGGTAATTAACTGAAGGGCAAGAGCTACGAGGAGAGGTTAGAGGCATTAAATATGCCAAAACTAGAAGACAGAAGAAAAAGAGGTGATATGATCACTACATACAAAATAGTAACAGTAATTGATAAAATCGATAGGGAAGATTTCCCGAGACCTGGAACTTTAAGAACAAGAGGTCATAGATATAAACTAGCTAAACACAGATGCCGAAGAAATATAAGAAAATTCACTTTCGCAAACAGAGTGGTAGACGGTTGGAACAAGTTAGGGGAGAAGGTGGTGGAGGCCAAGACCGTCAGTAGTTTCAAAGCGTTATATGACAAAGAGTGCTGGGAAGACGGGACACCATGAGCATAGCTCTCATCCTGTAACTACACTTAGGTAATTACACTTAGGTAATTACTCACCTTGGGTTCTGAGGGAATACACACTTGAGCTATATATTCCAGCACAATTTATTTTTAACCCATCTTTACACACAGGAATTCTAGCAGATACTGTATACCGAAAAAGCCAAACATTGCTCCAATCTACACAAAAATTGGCAAAAGAGAAGACTAAATTATAGACCTGAATTGTTGACAAGCTTGTTAGTCAGATCACTAGAAACAATAATTAGAATTGAATGGGTAGAGTACCTGGAAAGAAATAACATAACAGACACACACTCTATGGCATTTGAACAGAAAGATCTGTGTAACAAATCCATTGAATTTTTATGATAGAGGCAAATAGATCTTATATAATAGAGATGGGGAGGGTTAACTGCATTTATCTAGACCAAAAAAAAAAAAACTTTTGACAGAGTTCCACACAAGATGATGATGTGGAAGCTGGTGAGATGCTGGAGGGGAGGACAGGCAGACTTCTGAGAGAATGGAAAATTTCTGACATAAAAATGAGGGCAGTATTCAGAGGCAATGTATTAGACTGGAGACATGTTACTAGTGGAGTACCACAAGGTTCAGTTCTAGCACCAGTAGTGTTCATTGTCTATATAAACGATCTACCAGAGTGGATTCCAAGTTATGTGAACATGTTTATTGGTGATGCTAGTTACTACAGAAAATAAGATACAGTACTTGGATGACTTGCCATGCCCTTCAAGATGACCTAGTTAAAATACGTGAATGGGAAACACATGCCAAATTAAATTCAATGCCACATTATGGAATATGGCATATCTTGAGATGATTTCGGGGCTTAGCGTCCCCGCGGCCCGGTCCTCGACCAGACATCCTTTTTGTTACACACACCCCAGGAAGCAGCCCACAGCAGTTGTCTAACTCCCAGGTACCTATTTACTGCTAGGTAACAGGAGCATCAGGGTGAAAGACATTTTGCCCATTTGTCTCCGCCTCCACTGAGGATCGAACCCGGAACCTCAGGACTACGAATCCTAAGCGCTGTCCACCCAGCTGTCAGGTGCCCTGACATAGACAGGCATAGGCATATACCTATGCCTATGTGCCCATGCCCCCAGGCATAGAAGAAAATGGGCCACTTGCAACTGTCATCAGAGAACCACATAAATGGCATTGGGTGAGGGGCCTAATTTATATCAATTGTCACCCACATTTCCGTGGAAATAAACATTTCATTCACCTGAATACCTGATGAACCAGGCTGTGATTCATACATCAGGCAGCAAGCAGCTGTGTCCAATAGCCTGCTTGACCAGACCACCAACCTGGACACTGTGGAGACATTGATCCTGGGAATTACCACAAGATATGGTACCCAAAGGTTTATATCAAACAAAAAGCAAATACTGTAAGGCCTCAGTAATGTGGATTCTGGTAACATGAATCTCCTAGTAATTTAAACGAATTCACATTCAAGTGTTTTACCTTTTTAACCTTTCAACCTAAATAGGTAAAAGGTTATACCAAATGAGAAACCTGAAGAAATTAGAGTTCGAGTTCTTGACTTCTCAACTAGAATAGAAATTCAGGCTGCTGAGATTTCTGCTGAACAAGATATCTGAATCAATTTTAATTAGTTCATTTTGGGTATTCCGGTAAGAAAAAAGTCTTCTTCTTGAATGTTCAGCTAATTTGAATTGAGTGGGCTGCATATGTTTTGGAATACTGAATGTAGAAAATATAGTACACACGACTGGTTAATTGAATTTTAAAGTGCCAGAGAAGAACAGGAAGAAAAGTGGAATCAGTATAGGGAGAGGACAAACCCACAAACATTACAATACTAAAACAAACACGTAACAATACACATTAGTAAGAAGTGAGACTGAAAATCTGAGAAAGAAATAGTGGACAAATCAGAACTCTGCCTATTCTATAAATTCATAAAAAACAAATTGCAAGAGAGAGGCAAAATCCAATGACTACAAATGGGAGACAGACTTGGAGATTGAAAAAAAAATGTCAAGCACTGAATGAACAGTTTCAAAGAGTGTTCATGTGGATTGAGATTTTCAGTAAACCTGCCTCAATGATGACTTTCAAACGTAATTTAGAGTAAAAATAAGTCTCGAGAGAAGTAGTAAAAACTTAAAGAACAAAATGTCATAGATTCAAGCTAAGGAATCATACATATAGAAATAAACATAAACAAGTTATCTTATTTTTCAAACATGGTGGAAATTAGACACACAAACGAGCAGAAGAGAAGTCAGGAAGAACTTCAATATAAAGAGTTCTTCACAAAGGGTGCGTGTTGGAAGAGGTTGTATAGGTTCAATTTAGTAAACAAGCTTCAAAAGTAAATTGTAACAGAACAAGAGGAATGGGAGTCATTGTATCAATTGGCCAGAGTCAAGTGTTTCATAGGTGTCACTTGAACCTGCAAGTGCCGCTAGACATGTACACTTTATCCCTCTTCCCTGTCTTCCCACTTACCCTCTTAATCACATACATTCACAATCAGTTCCACAATAAAAGTTGCATAAGATTTCCAGAATTTTCACGTAATATTCAATTGTTAGTTTTTAGGCATGTAAACGTATGCTTTTACAGTACATTTTTAAATTATGGAGTATAGACTCACTTTACAAATTAAGCTTAATCTTTTCTTATGGTAGCATTATTAACAAGTGTCTTATAACAGCATGACCTTTTTAATATTATGCTTGGGCTTGTTGATTGCATGAGTGTTGCATGTCTATAGGTCTGATGCTCGAGATTAAGCCCTTCAAGGTACTCTTCAACTGGCATGACCGTGAAGTTTATGAAAACTTCACATGTTCATACCAATCATCAGAGCCACTTCGAATTGCTTTTACACGAGAGCCAACTTTGGTTGAAGATGGTGCTCTCGGCTCCCTTACGGACACTCAAGCTCCACACATTGCTGAGGAGTATACCAATGGGGCTAAGCACTTCGCTGTCCTGCGCCTCCTTAATGGCCATAGGACTGTCACTTGCCGAGTTTATAATGCTGATAACATGGAAGTGGCCCAGATGATGTCGCAAATTTTATATGTTGGTCATTCCCGGAGATCACGTAAGTCAATGATCTTAGGTATGTATATTTTCTGTACTGATAGAAAAGTAAATTTACCTTAATATATATGCAATACAAACTTTTATATTTTATCAAGTTCCCTTTCTCTGGGGAAAACCCCCAAGTTGGCTCCCTGAAATGATGTCACTGAGATAGCTTCCTAATACCAAGGCATATCAGTCGGAGGCATTCTGTTGGCCTTCCGGAGACCAGAGCCAGAATCTGCCCCCCCCCCCCCTCTGAAGGAGCCATAGGTAGCAGGGTATTGTTACGATCACCTTCACTGGGAAATAAACCAGAAAGTAGATGAGATAATACAGCTCCCTGTCCTCTGGTTATGTTCATCCAGGTGACAGCCAAACACAGACTCTTTCATAAATTTTAATATACTGCATATTCTCAAATGTAAGGTAATATTACATACTAGAATGTGATAAATAGCTAGACCTAATGTAAGTTAGGTTCTGTTGGCCATTATTGGCATTTGCAGTACAAGAGGTGCAATTTGAGCAGAGGTCGTGAACAAAGCACTGCTCAAGAATCAGCCCGTCCTCCAAACAAAGACCCAAAAATGATTCTATGCACCTGCCAAACCCTCTGTTTATGTATGAAAAACGGTTTACACATGGCTCACAACTGATTTTGTTCGAACACTTCCGGAACAAGTGCTTCACTGACGAATTTTGTTCGAACCACAATGCTGTAAATGCTTCACCCACGTTCTACAAATACAAATAATTGCCAACAGAACCTAAATACCCAACCTAACCTATGGGCTATATAGTATATGCACAATATGCTAATATATTATAACATTAATTTATATTTGAGAAAATTCCTATTTTGAATGAACAGCAATGTAAAAATTTATGAATGCGTCTGCGGGGTCGACCACTGGATGTAATGGACTCGAGTCGAGGACGGGTTGCAAGAAGAGTGCTGGGGCCTGACAGCTGAGTGGACAGCACTCGGGATTCGCAGACCTGAGATTCCGGGTTCAATCCCCGGTGGAGGCAGAAAGAAATGGGCAGAGTTTTTCACCCTGATGCCCCTGTTTACCTAGCAGTAAATAGGTACCTGGGAGTTAGACAGCTGCTACGGGCTGCTTCCTGGGGGTATGTAACAAAAAGGAGTCCTGGTCGAGGATTGGGTCGCGAGGACGCTAAGCCCCAAAATCATCTCAAGATAACCTCAAGATGATGTTTAGGTACCTACTCATTTTCATCAAATCGGTCACTATCGGAGAAAACTCGAGCCTGAATGTACAATACACTTGCATAAACACACAAATTTTGTGCATTTATGCAAGTGTGTTGTATAGTCATGCTCGAGTTTTCTCCAATAGTGACCGATTTGATGAAAACGATCAGGTATCTCTTCTCTCTGGCATGTGCTGTTCGGCGTTGACTGTTGGGGATAAATGTCCCGGCTCTCAACCCTTTTAACAGTCGTCCATTGGTGTGGTTGGTACCGTACTGTTTATGTCAGTGTGTGGAGGTCACCACGACCCGGTTAAGGCGTATGAACACGTGAGGTGCCAGATCCAAACTGGAAGGAAGGTAATGAAAGCGGTAATTCTATCGCCCCACGACAAAACAGAACCTGTCCCTGAACACTGGATGAATCGAGACATACCAATACGCGTCCCGGAGGTCCAGAAACACCATCCAGGCACCTGGTGCCAAAAACAGCTCAACCCAAGACAGAATGATCATCTGAAAGGAGGGACAAAAGACCCAAGGGACCAGTAGGGACAAGTTCATTATGAATCGCAGATCCGCCCGGTCCCATTTCAGAACTGAAAACAGGCGAGAAACCCCCTCCAGGATGACCTGAGGGGGTTTCTGAACGCAGGGGAAGAGGTCCACCCTGAAAGCTCTGAACCTCCCAAAGAAGCAACGACCCAACTCAACTGCAGGCCAAAGGAAATGACCCAAAATGCCCATGAATTGTGGGACCAGGCGAGAACAAACAGTGCGAGCCTTTTCCCTATCGCCCCGTTGATGAGGCAAACCGCGAAAGGGCCGACCACTCCTACGAGAACCTGACCGACGCTCAGAGGAAGGGCCAGTCCCAAATCTGGCACTACTGGCTTAGGACGACTGAACGACCCTTCTGGAAGGGTTGCGCCAAGTCAGTCCCCCCCCCCACTCAACCTTCCCCCCCCCCACCAACCCCCTCCGGAGAACGAACAAAGTCCAACATAGGCCATCAACTAGATGAAGCTGCCTGCAGGAAATGCACTACCGCAGACTCTGCACACGGCATCGGACAAAAATGGGGATGAAAATCTTAAGAGCCAGGGCCCAAGATGATTCCAAAGAACGGACAAGCACCGCCTGTCGGCACGCAAGGCGAGAAGCAAAGAACAGAGACACCGGCTCCCTCAGAAATGGCGCATACAACTTCAACAAGGCAGCCGACGCTTGAGCTGCCGAAGCAAGCACACTGGACACTGGTCTGTAACCCAGCTCCTCCACACCCACCTCGAGCCAGTCTGAATACAACTCCAGCAGGGAATAGAAACGCAAGACCAAAGCCAAGTGCCCACAGGCGTGCAAATCCTCAGCCACCAAGGATGCCGAAATGGAGGGAACCTGCACGTGAAGCCGCACCTGGCCGACATCATAAGGAAGGACGGGGGCGAACAAGCACACATTGAGGTGCTCCCACTAGCCCTCCCAGGTAAACCTGAACGACCGTAGTCAACTCCCGCCATTCAAGTGCGTGGTCCGACAGAATGAATGCCAAGCACCCCAACGAAAAGAAAAGGCAGTCTGCCAGCCAGGAAGACTCCGGCACCTTGTAACACACCCAATAAGGAAAAGAGGAGCCAAACTCAAAAAAGAGGGCTTTATTATAGAGGCATAAAACTCCAAAAGGAGGGAACCGAAGAACCCAACGGAACTCGGAACCAAACCCTGGGAGGAGTTGAACTCATAACAAAATCATACAGGGAAGGGGATAGGAAAGCCCCTCCCTCTAACAACAAGCCCTGCACTGAGGGTATCAACACCCAACCAAGGTCAATTTGGACCCAAGCCCCCCCCAAAGTCAACTCCTCCCTAGCTCTGGAATCCTCCAATGTCAGGACCCGGGGCCGAGCCGTCCTCCAAACCCTCTGCCTTTGGAGAAAAAGCGGAGTCCACTGGAAAAGCAGAGATGAAGGTGACCCGCTGGTGCGACCCAAAAGCTCCGGCAGGAGTAACAGGCTTGAATGCCTCCACAACCGATTCGGAAGGGGCAATCCCCCAAACCCGCCCGAGTCTCACTACCAGTATAATCAAAGTGAGGCAGCTGCAGGGCATCTGGATAGGCAACCAACCTCGCACATTACTGCAACTTAAACCTTGCATGCAACTCTAAAGCTGCCTGCACTCAATTATCAGTCTCAGTGGACTAGGTGAATGGAGTACAAAAAACGAACACCACTCACAGGACTCCGGGTCTAAGGTGTCACTGACCCAACAGGCAGACAGTGAGTGTCACCCTGAGACAAGGGGACAGAGCAACCTTCAAACTCACACAAGGCGAGGTGGGGATTCAAAGGTCTCTTCCATCAGACCACTAAGCCCCAATGGGGGTTTTTAGGGCCCTAAGGCTGACTGTTAAGGGAAGCCCAGGTGAGGTACCGCTAACCGGTTATCCCAGAGCTACCAAGAAAACAAACTAAAAGCTGAACCCCTGTGACATGTGCAAGCACAAGGACCTAGTGGAGGTCCACCAAAATCATATAAGTTGTCCTACCACCACACCAGGCAGACCCCCACCAAGCAAATAAAAGCAAAAACAAAAGAAAAACTCTGCAAAAGCATGGTGACTCCAGGTGAACAGAACCGGTCACTATGCATATATCAGACAGCTGCACAGTACCCTGTGCCCCAGCCAGCGACGAAACTACCTCCTACCCAAGGGCAAACCGGAGTAAGAACCTTCCCAGCTGAACCCCAAGGATGGGCAGTCACCCAGCAGCGACAGAACCACACGAAGGTAGCTGCTTCTGAACGGCTGAAGGAAGTTAAGCCTAAACCGCAAAGGTAGTACTTACAGGTCACCTAGGGAAGGTAGCCCTATTCACTTGCAGCGCCAGTACTCTTGTGTTACTCCTGGCTCGCACACCACAAACACAGAGAAACAACTCTGCTAAGAAGCACTGCGCAAAGAGTGAAGCCAGAGTCGATCGACCATTCACCATCACAACAGCCTCTTGAACTGAGGAGAGTTGCTGGCGTGGAGGTCTGGGAATCCCCCATCCAGGGAAAGGGGGGGGGGGTTGCTCAGACGGATGCACGGCAGTTGTGGTGATGTCACAGCAGTAGTTTGTTTTGAAATTCCTACCTTTCTGGGTGCCTGACCTGTTAGATGGCAGACAAAGACTGCTTCCAATTACATGGGGGTGTCTTTAGGTCATTGCTCCTCATGCCTTTCTTGAGAGGGCCAGGTTCTGGCTCTGGTCCCCGATAGGCCTAGAACTCCTTCGACTGACTGTTGCCACGGTCTAATATATAGACATCAGTCCAGTATAGCTCCAGGGATCTGAAATGGGTCTCCACAGAAAAAGGAATTTTAACAAATATTTTAATTTTGGATGCCACATACGTCCCAGGCAAACATCCGCAGAGTTATTTATGGACATCAGCTACATCCCGGGAATGCGAAAGTGTTAAGTTTATATATATATATATATAAATATATATATATATATATATATATATATATATATATTATATATATATATATATATATATATATATATATATATATATATATATATATATATATATATATATATAAACATATATATATAAACATATATATATATATATAATGTTTATATATATATATATATATATATATATATATATATAAACATTATATATATATATATATATATATATATATATATATATAAACATATATATATATATATATATAAACATATATATATATATATATATATATAAACATATATATATATAAACATATATATATATATATATAAACATATATATATATATATAAACATATATATATATATATGTCGTACCTAGTAGCCAGAAGGCACTTCTCGGCCTACTATGCAAGGCCCGATTTGCCTAATAAGCAAAGTTTTCCTGAAATAATATATTTTCTCTAATTTTTTTTAATGAAATGATAAAGCTACACATTTCATTATGAATGAGGTCAATTTTTTTTTATTGGAGTTAAAATTAACGTAGATATATGACCGAACCTAACCAACCCTACCTAACCTAACCTAACCTATCTCTATAGGTTAGGTTTTGTTAGGTAGCCGAAAAAGTTAGGTTAGGTTAGGTTAGGTAGGTTAGGTAGTCGAAAAAACATTAATTCATGAAAACTTAGCTTATTAGGCAAATCGGGCCTTGCATAGTAGGCTGAGAAGTGCGTTCTGGCTACTAGGTACGACATATATATATATATATGTTTATATATATATATGTGTTATATATATATATATATATGTTTATATATATATATATATATATATATATATATATATATATATATATTTATATATATATATATATATATATGTTTATATATATATATATATAATGTTTATATATATATATATATATATATATATATATATATATATATATATATATATATATATATATATATATATATATATATATATATATATATATAATGTTTATATATATATGTTTATATATATATATATATATATATATATATATATATATATATATATATATATATATATATATATATATATATATATATATATAAAATAGATGAATATTATTTTTTTATATCATATGAATAAATATGACATTATACAGTCTCTAATAGCTCATTTTTTTCATTTAGAACCTCCACCTGGCAGACCTGAGCAGCCTTCTATAACTGTGACCATCTCTGAACCAAGAATCAAGGAAGTTGATCTAGGGCTTTCTGTCCGCTTCCAGTGTTCGGCTCAGTCTCTAACTGGATCGCAGGTTAGTGTTATGAAATGTATCCAGCAGAGTAATAAAGATATCTATCATAGTTACTAATATATTTTTCTTTATAATACTATGTATACATAAAGTATGTGTGCTTGTGTGCTTTCCTATTAGTACTCATCATACTTTTCATATTCTGATGCAACTACAGTGCTGCAAACCTTCTAAAGTTGCCCTTGTATCACTGTCTACTGTTTTGTCACGGGTGAGATTACATACTTCATTGAATGAGAAGGCATTGAATTGTGGTTTGTAAAACCTCTCCTCAGGCCAAAGGTTTTAAAATAGTAGAATCATGCATACCTACCTAAAACTGTTTACAATTGCATAAATATAGAGGAAACATAAAATGTTCTTCCTATAATATTGGTAATGAATGTAGAATAAGAATAAACAAAATTAGTAAAAAAAAAAATACAAGCTGATAGTATAACGAAATACGTTATGACCGAAAAATAGAAAGGTAACGTTACATAAATATTATTAGATTATTGTAAAAATTAATAAAATGTAATTGACCTCATTGATATGGTACCAGAAATATTATCACCAATCGACCAGCTAAGTTATTAATTAAAGTTCCACTCTGCTATTGAAACTGTATATGGGGTTAGCCTCCCACCTCTTCCTCTTCTAGTTTGTTCCACTTAACTTGTACAGTGAAGAAACACTTAGCTGTGCTTAGCTTAGTTAAAATATTAAAGTCTGTCCCTATTTACATTGCCTGTAACTATAAAAACTCTTTCTAATGTGATAATATCTCCTCTGGCTCTCTTTTCTGTTAAGGGGTCAGGAGCGCAATTTATCAACCTTCCTCAAACACACTCCGGAGTTAAGTGATGTTAAGTCGAGTTAAATTAAGTGGAATTAAATGGAACTGGAGTTAAGTAATTACCTAAGTGTAATTACCTAAGTGTAGTTACAGGATGAGAGCTACGCTCGTGGTGTCCCGTCTTCCCAGCACTCTTTGTCATATAACGCTTTGAAATTACTGACGGTTTTGGCCTCCACCACCTTCTCACCTAACTTGTTCCAACCGTCTACCACTGTTTGCGAAAGTGAATTTTCTTATATTTCTCTGGCAGCTTTGTTTCGTTAGTTTAAATCTATGACTTGTTCTTGAAGTTTCGGGTCTCAGGAATTCTTCCCTATCAATTTTATAGAGTTATGTTACTATTTTGTACGTAGTGATCATATCGCCTCTTTTTCTTCTATCTTCTAGTTTTTGCATATTTAATGCCTCTAACCTCTCCTCGTAGCTCTTGTCCTTCAGTTTTGGAGGCCACTTAGTGGCATGTCTTTGCACCTTTTCCAGTTTGTTGATGTGCTTCTTAAGATATGGGCACCATACAACCGCTGCATATTCCAGCTTTGGTCTAACAAAAGTCGTGAACAATTTCTTTAGTACTTCTCCATCCATGTATTTAAAGCAATTCTGAAGTTAGAAAGTGTAGCATAGGCTCCTCGCACAATGTTCTTAATGTGGTCCTCAGGTGACAGTTTTCTATATAGAACCACCCCCTAGATCCATTTCTTTGTCAGAATTCTTTAAAGATTTCTCACATAATTATAAGTTGTGTGGGGTCTATGTTCTCCAATTCCACATTCCATAACATGGCATTTATGTACAAGAATGTAACAACTCTTGTATATATCTCAAAAAAAAAATTCACATTAAATTCCATTTGCCAAGTGGTGCTCCATATACTTTTGTCCAGGTCCTCTTGAAGGGCATGACAATCGTCTAGGTTTCTTATCTTCCCTATTATCTTAGCATCATCAGCAAGCATATTCATATAATTCTATATTCCATCTGGTAGATCTTTTATGTAGACAATGAACATTACCGGTGCAAGAACTGAACCCTGTGGTACTCCACGTGTGACATTCCTCCAATCCGATACATTGCCTCTGATTACGGCCCTCATTTTTCTATCAGGAAATTTTTCATCCATGTTAGCTTACCTGTCACCCCTCCAATATGTTCCAGTTTCCAGAACAACCTCTTATGAGGAACTTTGTCAAAAGCCTTTTTTAGATCCTGATAGATGCAGTCAACCCAACCATCTCTTTCCTGTAAAATCTCTGTGGCTCTATCATAGAAACTGAGGAAATTCGTTACACAGGATCTTCCAGATCGAAAACCATACTCTCTGTGTGATACTATATCGTTTTTCTCCATGTGTTCTACCCATTTAGTTTTAATTATTTTTTCCAATATTTTGACTAATACACTTGTCAATGATATAGGTCTATAATTGAGGGGGTCTTCCCTGCTGCCACTTTTGTAGATTGGAACTATGTTAGCCTTTTTCCACACATCAGGTACATCTCTTGTACACAGTGATTCCTGAAAAATCTGTTGAAGTGGAATGCTGAGCTCAGGTGCACATTCTCTCAGAACCCATGGTGAAACTCCATCTGAACCAACTGCTTTGTTCTTACTTAGCTCCAAGAGCATTTTTTCCACTTCATCTCTAGACACCTCTATGTGCTCTATGTTGTTCTCGGGAATTCTTATTGTGTCTGGTTCCCTGAAGATTTCATTTTGTTCAAACACACTTTGGAACTTTTCGTTTAATGTTTCACACATTTCCTTTTCATTTTCCGTGAATCTATTTCCCATTTTCAACTTCTGAATATTATCCTTTACCTGCAATTTGTTGTTTATGAATTTACAGAATAGACCTGGTTCTGTTTTACATTTGTCTGGAATCCCTTTTTCAAAATTTCTTTCTGCCTCTCTCCTCACTGCCGTGTAGTTATTTCTCACATCTTTGTATCGCTGGTATGTTTGGGGGTTTGGCCTCTTCCTGTATTGATTCCATTTTTGTGTATTTTGGTCTCTGGCCCCTTTTGCAATTTCTGTCAAACCCATCTTGTTTCCTAGTTCTGCATCTCTGCTTTGGTATAAATTTTTTTGTGCCTTCATCATATATATCACAGAGCTTGACATACATCTCATTTACTTCATGTCCTAACAGCAAGTCTTTCCAGTCAAATTCCTTAAAGAAATGTCTGAGTTCCCCATAATAACCTCTCCTGGAATCAGGCTTTTCAACTGCTTCAACCTCATTTTCTTCCAGATTATAACACACTGCATACCTTATTCCCAAAATGATATGGTTATTTTTACCCAAGGGAGGGAGGTACTGAATGTCAAATCTCTCTTTCTTTCCTGGTAAATATCAAATCCAGCATGGAGGGGAACATCCTCTTCCCTCATCCTCGTAACTTGTTTAACATGTTAAAACATGAATGTTTCCAGGATTAGGTTTATAAATCTACAAGTCCAAAACTCCTCTGTTCTAACTTCATATGCCTTCCCAGTCTATGGATTTCAAGTTGAAGTCGCCGACTACCAACAGTCGTGATCTATCTTTATCAACTCTTGCTACAATCTCTCTCATTATTGTTATAAGACCCTCTCATTTATTATCCCGCGCCTTCTGTGACCATGTGTTGCATGTGGACTATATGCATTTATGATCTTTAGTGTATCATCCTTATTTCAGATCTCTAGTGCTATTATGTCAACTGCTCGTGGATTGGCAATCATTATTTCATTTACCTTTAGGTGTTCTTTCACCAGCACAGCAAAGCCACCACCTTTCCTAATTTTTCTGTCCCATCTCCAGACTGAGTAGCCCCTTGGGAATATTACCTCATTTAAAATATCATCATCAAGTTTTGTCTCCGTGAGTGCAACAATGTCTCAACCTCCCCCTCCCTGGCAGGGGGACGGAGGGGTCCCAGACCTCCACGCCGGCAACTCTCCTCAGTTCAGAGGCTGAGTATCAAAAACGTGAAAACCCTCCGACCGGAGGGAGAGAGAGATGCCTCCCTCCCTCCCATTCACCGCTGGTTTTATTAAGTAGAATTTTTAAAGTCTAGCATTATGAAGGTCAAACATGAGCCTGAATCTAAATTTTTCTGGATTCTAGATTTTGGTTACCAGGATGGTTTCATAACATAAAGTGTAACTTTTCTATGTACTTTCATTTATCAAATATCGGTTGTGTGTATACTCGACCTTCAGGAAAACTATGTCCATATGCAGTTCTAATGTTCAGCACTATTTCAAAGTATTTAATAAGGTTTGGGGTGCTGCTACTTGCTGCTGTCTGTGGCAACAATGCTAAGTCCAAAAATAATGATTATACAGCATAATTTTCCTTATTTATTGCATTGGGCTGCTGGTAAAGTGTCCTCTCCTGTGTCCTCTGTGCAAGGATCATGAGAGCCAAGCAGGTAACGCAGGATGATATATGATATTTTTTCCTTGCATGTGATTTACAGAATCGTTTGTCTGTCACTTGGAGCAAGGCTGGTGGTGAGCTGCCATTTGGAAGAGCCATAGACAATCGCCAAGGCCTTCTTGAAATTAATCCGGTAATGTAAAATGTGTATTTGCTTTTTAAGCTAAAATTATTTAATTTGTTTTTGATCATATTATGTACATAGCCTGCTGATTTCTTTATTTGCATTAACCACTGTGATGCGCCGAGTTTATTGTGAAATTCCCCGTGTGCATGAAATCAAGTGTTCCCATAAAAATCTTTTTTCTTCGTAAAATGATAAATTCCCTTCACATGTCTATGTAAAAATAAATTCTAAATTCCACTTACTTTGGCTGTCGGGACGTGGACAAGGTGTGCTGTGACGTCATCAGGGGCTAGTTATCCTTGTGTAACATGCCCAGACATTGTCGCACAGGCCATTCAAGCACCGGGTGTTGCCACAAATATATTTTCAATTATTTGTTCTATATATTTCCAATGCAGTTTTATTTTTTTATTTTTTATCATATATGATGCATATATGTGTCCTTTACAATACACATACTGTACAGTAGAATGTTTATAATGTCCCATGGGACTGTGATACATGTGTCAGTAATGTGTCCACAATAAATGTTTATTGTGACAATATTACTTGTTAAAATTCACTAAAATTACAATATGTACAGTTTCACACACTATTTACACAGTAACACACTGTATTACACACTCAGTACTTCGGAAGTGAGTAATAATCAATGAAGTAGTCCATGGTAAACAGCGTGACTTCGCTCTCGTTGCACCAGGTACAGATAGATTTTTCCTTCAGTTTCTTCATTCTGTGTGCTTGCAAATAACACACTCTTGTACACCCTTGGCTTTAGCACTTGTAGGTGGTATGTAGCCAAGCTTGTAAAGTGTAAGGTAGTCTTGAAAAGATTATAGGAAAAAATCAATTTGTAAGGTAGTCTTGATAAGATCGCTTTGTAAGGTCCCACGTAGGAAGAGATTCAGCCAGCCTCGAAGAGTGTCTGTCAGTCAAGAAGAGATTCAGCTATTCTTGAAAATATCTATGGAAAACACCACCATGGAAGCCATTAACACTGTTCGTCTATGCTACTTGTATCAGATGCATCATCACTGAGTGCAGAAAACGATTCATCTATGTATTATCTATATAAATTGGAGATAGCATAGGTGGGCAAGGGTGGCACTCAGAGCTGCAACTGGATACACTTGCTGTATAGTCCTCATAGGTGCCGTATCACTGACAACCGACCTTTGTGTTAGGTCCTTGTTGTGCCTACTTCATCAATTTTATGACCCTTATGTTCTTCAAACAATAAGGTTTGAATTTCACTGACAGAGCGCGATCTTTCAGCACCGTGTCGGACAGGTGTTTGGGAGCCAGAGGCGCATGCGCCATTCATAGTTGGTCACTCGGTACTAACCCAGCCAGCAGCCCTAGGGCATTTTGGAATTTTTTTTCCAAGATGGCTGCTCTCACTGGGGGTCTTAAGAGTCCATTTCGTACACAACCGCGCGCACATTTAGAATGGGGTACGAAAAAATCAACGAGTTTTCTCGGTTGGCGCAGTTTTCCATCGACCGAGACTACTCGGTTGGCGCAGTTCAGTGGTTAATCAAGAAATTGTTTGGCCTGTTAGAGCAGGTATTCTGTGGATCCTTAAAAGTTTTAATTATTTTAAATATTATATTTTAAAGCCTTTCAAGGTCTTAATCCTTTTGTGACCCAGGCAGTCCTCCAAAATTTGAGCCTGTTGTACATGGGTGGTCTAAACAGACATCCATGTATCTCAGATCTCAATTTTCCATCATAAAAAACTCCTATTTGTTCAGGGTGAGATACTAGTATCAGGTCCTCAAAGGGTACATGTATCGATAAATTCTCTACAATTCAACAGTAGAGCTGTCATGTGTTACAGGTTGAAAGAGATATAAACAAGGGTTTTGTATATACCAACATGAAATAATAGGTATAAACTGGATAGCTAGATTTAGGAAAGAGTTTGGTAAATATTGGTTTGGGTTCACAGGAACAAAGCCTTGAAACCACCAAACAATTTTGTAAATGATTTACAGAGAACAATGGATTCACCCACACTAGCCTTTCAGTTGCCTTAGCACCTTGGTTCTGTTGCTAATGATGTATTTACCATTACACCTTGTAATGCTACCAATCCATCAGATCACAGGCAGGCTCACTGCTTTAAGCTAAGTCCTTGGATTCATTTGTATCATGGGGGGGTCATTTGCTTTGTTTATTGTTCCTTTCCTTGGTATAGAGTTTATGTGCATGTTTTGGTTCTGGCATTTTGCATAGGCTTACCTCTGTCATCATTTTGGGCTGCATGCACTAGGGGGGTTTTCTTCCCTGTGTGCCTACAAACATGGCCCTTGTACAATTAGTTCCCTTCTCAGGTGTGTATGGAAGTTTGCCCCTGAGAGGCCTGACCACCAGGGTGGAGAGCCTTGACCTGGGCTGTTGAAGGATCCTTGATTCCTTTGTTTAGGTCCTTGGCTAGGGCATTCTTTGGCTGTGTTAGGGCACATTCTTGTTTACATGACATGTCACAGTTGCTACTCGTAGCCTGGTAGTTTGGGCTGCAATTGGTGTTTGTTCTATCAATGAATTGCCTCTGTCTGGGGGTGTCTGCTTGGTTACCATTCATCAGGACCTGGGAATTTCCTGCAAGTCTCTGGTGTGGTCCATATTGCTCACCTCATCAAGCCCCTCACTCATTGTGTGCGAGTTTGAGGGGTGTTCAATGTTCTTGCTACAGGGAGATGATTATTCGTTCTGCCCTTGCCATGCTGCCTGTTGGGGTTAGTGACAAATACAGCCCAGAGTCCTGGGAGGTTTGCTTTCACTGGGTTTCTGCTGTGATGGATTCTGCCTCCAAGTTGGAGGCATTTCAGAAAGTTGCCACTTTGTGAGCTAGGTTTGCTCGTGTTAAGCATTTGCAACATATTGATCAGGTGGATGCCCTGGAGTTGTCAGCCATGTTGTTTAGGGGACCCAGAATTGAAAGTGTTTGTGACCTCCATCTGGACAAAGTCTGTGCCTCCTTTTCCTTTCCCTGTGGGTGTGGGTTGCCTGGCTTCTGGTTTTTCCACTCCTGGTTTTGGCTCTGAAACATATGAGGGTTTCAGAGCTGGGGTCAAGGTTTAACTCGGAGTGTAGCTCAGCCTTCTTCAAGGGTGATCCCATCCACATTGATGGTGGAGGCAGTTGAGCCTTCTTGTTTTGCAAGGGTTGAGGGGCACATGCCTTCACAACCACCCTCCTTGTCCTTCTCCTTCTCCTTGGGAAGACACCTTCCTGTCTTGCTTGTTGGGTGAGGAATTTACTTCTGCTTCAGAGCCTTCATGGCAGGCTTCTTGGTTTGTGGGGAGTGGGGGAGACTGAGGAATGCCCTTGAGTGCTTTTTGATCTTCAGTGGAAGGGACCAGTGGTTTTAGTCTCTTTCAGTGAAGGTCAGTTGCTAAAGGGGTGTCATTTTTCATACCATCTTTTATGTATGAGTTGGATTGCTCAGTTGCTTCCCCTGAGGTTTGGTTCCAGGTCCCTTTATGCATCTCGGATTCATTCTTCATCCGGAGGTTTCTGTCTCCTTGCGCTGCACCTTCTGTTATCTGCACGGATTTCATCATTACCTCCTTTGGAGGGCAGACTTCTTTTCCATGTTGAACCAAGCCTCTTTTCGAGAACGTGTCTGTCTCTGCTTATTGTTGCAGTACGAGGTTTTGGACTCATCTTGACAACCTCTACTTTTTCTTGGGGTCTTATGAGGGGTTCTGTTGAACCTGTGCACTTGAGTGGCAGGAGGTAAGCTCCATCTTTCAGGTGTTTCTGAGCTGGCCTTCATGTGCTCCACTCATGAGCTGCTTGTTTGGTCCCAGTCAGTCATGTGTTGCCTAGGGCCATATCTCCTGGCCTGAATTCTCTTCATCTTATTGCATGCTGCCTCTCCTCCTCATATTCCCCCCTGGTAAATCTGTTTTTTGTTCTCTGTGGTTAGCATCAGGGAGCCACTGAGAGCTTCCTCAGAAACCCATAATTAAATGTAATGAAACACCTCTTTCTGGATGATTTCTGGAGGTAATTCGGTTCATTGGTGGGTTGTTCATCAGCTCCAGAACTGAGCAAGGAAGATGACTGCACGTGGAAGCCAGGCCCGCTGTCAGTTTTTAATATTTGTAATGTTCTCTGTAACTCATATGTGGTGTTGTCTGGTGAATTTGAGACTTAGGTCTTTGTTTTCTCTCTAGTTGTTTGTAAAGTTTCATGGACTTTCTGGCTGCTTTTCCAGTGTAGTAGAAACTTTTGTCTCTGCCTGTCTGAGGAAGGGTCAGGTGTTGGCTGTGGTTCTCGATATGCTAAACAGAATTCCTGCACCTGATGTAAACCATTTGCCTGGAGCAGTTGCAGTGAGATCGCTTCATAGTCACTGCAGCTCATACAGAGAGGCATTTCATTACAATGAATGCAGGGTTTCTAATAAAATTTTAAAAATATTGTCAAATTTAAGTTTGACTAAATGTTTTTAAGCACTGAACAATAGTTTGCACTTTAATTTGATGGGTCGTGGATGATAATTATGCTGCCTCCTGATGATCTTCTTGAGGTTATCTTGAGACGATTTCGGGACTTTTTAGTGTCCCCGCGGCCCGGTCCTCGACCAGGCCTCCACCCTCAGGAAGCAGCCTGTGACAGCTGACTAACACCCAGGTACCTATTTTACTGCTAGGTAACAGGGGCATAGGGTGAAAGAAACTCTGCCCATTGTTTCTCGCCGGTGCCTGGGATCGAACCCAGGACCACAGGATCACAAGTCCAGCGTGCTGTCCACTCGGCCGACCGGCTCCCGTGATGCCCATGATGGGCTATGGCAATGGCTTGGATGGACAATCCTCACTTTATTCATCATTTGTTTGCTCTACTGAACAATTTGAACTAAATATAGTTTGTTTGGCCATCCAGGAATTTGTTAGGGTGAAGATGCATTATATCAGTAGCAATAAACTATGTTATAGTGGCATGCTCAATCCTTGCTTATCAAAAAGTACAGATCCTCCCTGAAAAGCAGATAAAATATGACTTGAGGTATAATTAATGAACACTACCAGCTTTGCCATGAAGGGTCACTAACATGGAGAGGTGGGTGTAAATGATAAAATAAAGAAAATAAGGACAACCATTCCACTGCCAATTATATTTCCTTCCCTCACACAACTCAATGCACCTAGACAACACCCAGTAACCTGAGTGTTACCACTTATATACCCACACCCCTACACGGACCATATTCATATTTATTGCCACCTCACCTATACCCTGTACCCCAGTCCACATCCCTGACAATACCCCCATCCACACCCCTGCCCATACCTTCACCCACCACGAGCGTAGCTCTCATCCTGTAACTACACACCCACTCATACCCCACCCCCACCCCCACAAATAACCCCACCAGCCATATACCCATCCCATCTCCCACTCTCATTCTCTTCTCTCTGTAGATCCATATTCTAAAATACATGTACAGAAGGGATGATATTTTTATTTATAAGAATATAGTTCAATGTGACCTCACTTGACAGGAGTACATGGGAACAAAGCCGATACGTTACACTAGGGATTTCGTTAGAGCCATCAGACCCCAGACAACACCTATTGTCCAGAAAAAAGGCTAACTATCCACTATAATGCATATTCAGATTTTCAATATATCTTAACAAAGTGTAGGGTAGCAAAATATCTTCATAATAAAATTAAAGCACATTTAGGTAAATGCAAATCCATCATAACCCTTCTTTCTTCAAGTCTCATGAACTTTCTCACCAAACTGTAGTGAGGGAGGAGGGGAGGGAGGGATCGGCTCCCTCCATCATCACCCACTCTACTAGTCAGCTGACTGCTACTGCATCCCACTAGTGGTTTACCTTACACTCGTATGTCGTCAATTTTCAGTCCACTGGAAATATATTTCCACGTTTTATTGCAATCTTCTGCATTATGATTGTTGTAGTAAGATATCTTTCTAACAAAAAAAAAAGCAAATTACAGAGTAGATAATGTGATAATTAACAATATATCATTGAGTCAGCCAAGCAACTAACATTGGTGTTCGAACACATGTATTGAATCGTAGCTTGGAAACATTTTTATATTTTTTTAAATGTTGTGCAGTATATGGTTTTGAGCTATTAATATCTGACAGTAATACTTGTATAATAATTTTTGTATTTTAGTGTTCTTGTTAAAGTTTTTACATTCTGTATTTCATTAATATTTGAACTTAAACTTTTTTTGGGTAAGGAAGAACATTAAAAAGACGTGGCATAATAGGTTCACTTTTAGCTGTTCTGTGTATATTTTATTTTAAATATTAGTATTTTATAATATAATTTGTTAAACATTATGTAATATTTAAGTTTCCTTAAATGATTTTTAAGAAAACTTAAACAATTCCTGCACCTGATGCCTGGATACAATAGCTTACACTTGGATTAGTTGGGTCATGGGTGATGGTCACATACTTGCGTCCCAATGTATGGTCTTTGTGATAGCTTGGACAAACAGTCCTCACTTAATTAAACATTTGTATGTTCCACTGAACAATTTACACTGAACACAATCTGTTTGGATCACCCAAGAATTCATAAGAACATGGCTTATTAGAGAAAGGATCCAGTGCAGGCGATGAGTCACAATAACGTGGCTGAAGTATGTTGACCAGACCACACACTAGAAGTTGAAGGGACGACGACGTTTCGGTCCGTCCTGGACCATTCTCAAGTCGATTGTGAGAATCGAGTTGAGAATGGTCCAGGACGGACCGAAACGTCGTCGTCCCTTCAACTTCTAATGTGTGGTCTGGTCAACAAAGGATCCAGTGTATTCATAATTTTGTTTGTATTGTGAGATACATGTATGCCTGGTATAAGGACCAGAGATGCCTCTCTTGAGTTGCTATGATCAGAGTATTTATAGTTTAAATACTGCACACAGCAAGCTATAATATGATGGAACTCTCATTACAGAAAGATATCTAATGACCCATTTGATGAGGTATAATATAATATGTTTTCTTTCAGGTTCAAAAATCTGATGAAGGCATCTATATTTGTGCAGCAACAGATGGTATTAGCCAAATTGTTACACAGAATGCTACTCTCATCATTAAAGGAGGTCAGTTTCTTTAGAGGAAAATTTTTAGTCTCAATAATGTTGTTAAATTTATAGGTCGCTACATTTTTCCAGATTTCTTTGGTAATGCCAAACATTTTATTTATTTATTATAATTTATTTATATATACACAAGTTCTCTTACATTCTTGTAGAGCCACTAGCACTCATAGCATTTCGAGCAGGTCCTTAATCCTAATTTTCCATGGAAAATGATAATTGCAAGCCGGCAAATCGTTTAACGACCCATTCACTACTGGGTGCACAGAGGCTACAGTTAAGGATTGCTGCCCAGTCAATCCTCCCAGGTCAAAGCACTCGTGAAGCGCCGGGCGAAAGTTGTACCACTGTGGTAGGGGGACTGGTATAAACACAAAACACATTGTAATGTTAGTTTTATTATTTTGGGGCTGATCATTGTGATTAAATCATATTTATCATGCTACTATATACAGTACCAGTAATTAGCTCTAAAATACAATACTGTAAATGAAACACATTTTTCAGCCAATCAAAAAGCATTATATATTTTTGCCTCTGTGATAAATATCTAATTGGCATGTCTAAGACAGCACAGTATATATATACATTTGATGGTACAGAATATAATGACACTGTCCTGTTTTCTTCATTAAAACAATAGTTAAAGGTAATAATAAGGAAGGCATATGCATTCCCAGACACCTTAGAATTAACAAGTTTGTATAGAAATTAATAACCTTATTTGAAATACTGTATAGAATGTACTATATGATCAAGATTTTTTAACTCGTTAGTGACAGGAATTGTCAAACTAAACAAGGATGAATTTTTTAAACCTGTAAATTCAAGTGCACGTGGTCATATATTCAAGCTAAGGAAACTAATGTGCTGAAAAACTATAAGATAAAACTAGATTATTACTACTGTATGGATGGAGGAATAAAGAAACTGCTCACAACATTAATCAGACTGAAATTGGAATTGGCAGTTTTTTGTTTTTTATATCTCCAGATGCACATCAGTACCATACACTAAAAACAGTGCAAAGACTTGCTTCTTAATTGCTTCCAGATGTGAGAAACCCAACTATAAATGTACTAATCAGACATTTATGAATAAAATTTTTGTATTGCATTGTTTTACAAGAACTATGAGGAGAGGCTGGATGTGTTAAACATGCCAAAGTAGAAAGACAAATGTAAGAGAAACAATATGAACACCACTTACAAAATAGTGACAGGTACTAACATAGTTAACAAGGAGGAATTTTTGAAAAATACAATTTAAAAAACAAGAGGGCAAAGCATAGTTTTAGCGTAACAAAATGAAGGTACCCAAAAATAACAACCGTAAGTGTTCGCTTATGAAAGGTATGTAGATGGAACAATTTAAGGGAGGTGGCAGAGGATGCCAAAACCATTAGCAGTTTCATAGCATCATATGACAAAGATTATAGGGAAGACAGGACACCATGAGCATAGTTTTCATCTTGTAACCACACGTAGGTAATTACACAGAAAAGAAACAACATAGTAAAGTGTTTAAGGATGTTATGGATTGTAGTAAACAGACAAGCACAGACATTAGATAAGATATTAGAAAAGCACTGGCATCAAATAGTAAACTGCTACAAAACACTATAGATAGAAGTAAGTCCCTAATAATCATTGGATGTAAAGAAAAGAAGATAACATCTAGGGTAGATTGAGCCACAGAAGTAACAAAGATCATGGAAAAAGTTTTTGGGTTAACAGAAGCCCTCACAAACAAAGTTAATAGTGTTTGTGAATAAAAAAGATTCAGAAGGTATGAAGAAAGAAAAATCACCCCATAAGAGTGATCTTAAATGGAGCAATTTCAAAGCATCATATGACTAAGATTATTGGGAAGACAAGAAAGACACCACGAACAAAAACACACGACAGTTGACACTCGGTAACTTCAACTTGAAATCCATAAACTGTGAGGCTTACAAAGCAAGAACAGATGACTTTTGGACTGGTAGATTCGTAAACCTTATCCTGGAGACATTCCTGTATCAACATGTTAAGCAAGCTACAGGAATGAGGGACGGGGTTGTTCCTTCAATGCTAGATTTGATACTTGCCAGGAAAGAAGACATTTGGCATTCAGTAATTTACCCCTTGGGCAAAGGTGACCATGTCCTTTTGGAAGTAAAGTATGCAATGCATTATAATCTAGAGGAGGAGGAAAATTTAGCATTTAAAAAACCTAATTTCAGGTAGTTTTGATTGGAAAGAATTATTGTTAGGCAAGGAATTAAATGAGATGTGTATCAAGTTTTGTGAAATATATAATAAATATACAACAAAATAGTTATCAAAACAGAGATGCAGAACTCGGAAACAGGATTGGTTCAACAAAATTTGCAAGAGGGCCAGAGACCAAAAGACACAAAAAAGGAGCCTATATAGAAAGAGGTAAAATCCAAACAAACCAGCAATACAAAGAGGCAAGAAACAATTACATGGCAGTCAGAAGAGTCAAAGTAATTTTGAGAAAGGGATAGCGGACAAATGTAAAAGAGAATCAGGCCTATTTTAGTCGTTAAAAACAAATTGTAGGTAAAGCATAAAATTCAGAGGTTGAAAATGGGAAGCAGATTCACAGAAAATTAAAAAGAAATGTGTGAAACATTAAATGAACAGTTCCACAATGTTTGTGCGAAATTAAATTTTCAGTGAACCAGACACAAGACTACCAGAGAACAATATTGAGCACATAAAGGTGTTTAGAAATGAAGTGCAAGAAATGCTCAGGGATCCAGATAGGAACAAAGTACAATAGTTTGCCCAGATTGAGTTTCACCATGGGCTCTGAGAGAATACACACCTTAGCTCAGTATTCCACTTCAGTTGATTTTTCAGTCATCTCTGTGTACAGAAGTCCTGGAATGTTTATAGAAAAAGGCTAACTTAGTTCCAGTCTACAAAAGTGGCTACAGGGAAAACCCTCTTAGTTATATGCATTTATCATTAACGTGTAGTAGTCAAAATATTTGAAATTAAATAAGAAAAATTATATAATAACTGACAGTACCTGAAACAAATCTACTTGGTTTCTTTAATAGAGTCACAGATTTTACAGGAAAGAAATGATTGGATTGATTGCATTTATCTAGACCTAAAAAACCAGCGTTGAATGTAATGAAATGCCATTTTCTAGGCGAGCCCCAGAGGCTCCCTGGAGCTTATTGGGCTAATGTATGTTATATTAGACCGGGACTTTAGCTAAGGAGTTCAGACTTACCAGGGACCAGCGCCAGAACCTGGCCCCTTCAGAAAGGTTTCAGGGAGCAATGGCCCTGGAAAACCTCCAATGTGGTTGGGGTTTTTCCTTATCTGCCATCGACCGGGGTTAGGCACCCAGAAAGGTAGGCATAACAAAACAAACCCCACATGGTAAGAAACTAAAACAAAAAACCGAATAGAGAGGTAGAACTCCCTACAATCCCAAGGAAACAAGCAAACATAACACTTTTCTGGCGCACCCAGAAAATGGCATTTCATTACATTCAACGCTGGTTTTCTGTGGGGAGCCTCTACGGCTTCCTGGAGCTACATACCCAGAGAGAAGAAAGAGAAAGGGCTGACCCGGGAGGCGGCCGCCACAAACTCCGCAATGCGAAGTCGAGACAACAGGCAGCAACCTGCAACCCAGAGCAACACAAGAACGCACTGGAGCAGACACGCTCACAAAACGCTCCTGGTGGCCAGGAACCTGTGCGACCCCCAACTCCTTGCGCCCGAAATGGGCCCGAGACGTCAACAAACACGGCAGCGAAAGCTGCAAATGTTCGAACAGCACAGGCACAAGGATAGACCGCAGGCTGGTAGACTTAAGAACCGTGCGGACAATCTGGGAGACCTGAGCCCTGAAACAGGGAACGAGGGGAACCGGATCAACCCAAAGCGCATCCCATCCCATGGCACGCAGATAACGGCGAAGAGCCGCAACCGGACACAACACATGATGCACCCCCGGCAGAATCAACCAAGCATCAATAACCCAAGGATCCCTCCTGAAAGCAGCCGACTCGGCTGTCACCAGAAGGATGGAGAAAGGCTGCAAATGTACAAACCTATCACCAGTACCAAAAGAGCAGAAACCCTTGCGCCGGAGGAGAGCCGGAAGCTTCCTGACCTGACCTGCAGAGGCCAATGCTAACAAAATATGGCCTTTGAAAAGCAATCTTGAACTGAAGGGGCTACCACAAACTGAGGAGAGGAAAGACAAGAGAGCACCCTGACCAAGGACCAGGATGGCTCAGGCGGCATTTGAGCAGGCCGGAGGTGAAACAAAGCACAAGAAAGCTTGCGGAATGGGGCGGATGTGACATCCACCCCGAACGCAAGCCGGAGCGGCTCTGCCAGTGCCACACGATACAAGGCAACAGTAAGAAGCATCAATTAACGGTCCTGAAAAACCAAGAAAGGACAAGACAACCCAATGCGAAAGAGAAGACACCCTACGCAGAGCAAGAAAAGGGCGAATAGAAATGCTAGGAAACGTCATGCTGTCGCCGAGACGAAGCTCTCGGGTAGGACACCATTAACGAAGCCACCTGATAAACATAAAGATGGTGATACACCCGTGTCAAAAGACCAGGCACAAAGAGCTGAGGAGAAGGCCGAACCAGCCACGTACAGGAACGGTCCGCCCTGCCGAAGGAGGCGGAGCTGCGGGAAACACCCCAGATTCGGACGCCTATCAAGCATTGTCTGAAAACAAAGCTGGGCCGGTCACCAAGGGGCCACAAGGACTACTCTCCTTGGTAAGGACTCCAACCGAGCCAGAACCCGAAGCAACTGATGGACCGGGTGAAGAGGAACAGGTAATTCCACCTCGACCAGTCCTGATGAAAGGCATCCACTGCGAATGCCTTGCAGGCGGGTAAGGCCGCCACATAGAATGGGAGATGCCAAGACCACACTGACGCGAAGATGTCCATATCCAGGAGTCTGTACGTCCGGCAGAGTCAACAAAATGAGTCGGTGATG